TTACTGACTTTTTTTTAAATTAAATATTCTTTCCTTACATAATTTTGGAGTAGGGGGTTAATATAAAACATTTAAAAATTATACAATAAATCTGGTCTGGCAATTATTTCACCAGGTCCAGAAATACAAATATAATTTGAAAGAAAGTATAAATCGTAAACACTGATGCCTAACCAAAACCAGGACATTATAGTCCATACTATCATCATGTATATAGCGCCAACACATTCCTTAGCGCTTTACAATTATGAAATGAAGATATTTGCCAACAAGTAATTTACATACGGAATATGCTGGAAACAAAAGCGGAAGAAGGAATTCGGCAAACGAATAGCCAATCTTTGAACGTATGTTACTATGTTGCGGTATATGCCCAGAGCCTTTTCTCAACTTCGACTGGTATTCTTTGCAGTCATACCTCAAGCATTTCAGGCTCCAAGCCAGTACTAGAGGCAGTAGTATTGGTTTCAGTCAACTTGCCTGAAGCATAGGGAGGTGATCAACTGTACTACCACTGATCAGTGGCAGGAAAAACAAAGAATCTTAAATCAATTTCATAATGTATGGCAGTACAATAATACAATATATAGCTAACTCTGTATATCCACTGGTCTTGTAGGGAGAGGGTGACTTTATGAGGAAAGACTAGTTCATTTAAACATTACTGGGTGCCATAAAACATGATTACTTTGATATCTCACTTGTACTACAGATAACAAAACAAGTACACACAACAAGGTTCACCCATGGCAAAGGAATTCCGCAGGTGTGCTTCCAATAAATAAATTATACACACACACACAAATTCACTTAAAGGACCACTATAGTGCCAGGAAAACATACTAGTTTTCCTGGCACTATAGTGCCCTGAGGTTGCCCTCACCCTCAGGGTTAAACTTACCTTTTTTCCAGCGCCGGGCGGGGAGCTCTCCTCCTCCTCTCCGCCTCCGATCCTCCTCTTCGGCTGAATGTGCATGCGCGGCAGGAGCTGCGCGCGCATTCAACCGGTCTCATAGGAAAGCATTCATAATGCTTTCCTATGGACGCTTGCGTCTTCTCACTGTGATTTTCAATGAGACAGCCACTAGAGGCTTTGGAGGCTGGATTAACCCATTTATAAACATAGCAGTTTTACTGAAACTGCTATGTTTATAAAAAAAGGGTTAATCCTAGAGGTACCTGGCACCCAGACCACTTCATTAAGCTGAAATGGTCTGGGTGCCTAGAGTGGTCCTTTAAGATGTTTAAAAAAATAAATAAATTCCATGAAAAAAAAAAATTTGAAAATAAGATTAGAATTCTACTGGATCATTGCCCGTTTGATTTCAGCCCAATAAGAATGTTCTACATGGCCCTGCTTACCTAAGTAAAGCAAACCGGATTCTTTGGCAACCTATCTGCATGGCCACAGGTAAGGTATGAAGTAGTGAGCACAGGCAGGGCCGGACTGGGGATACGAAGCAGCCCTGGAAAAAAATCTATGCCAGCCCCATAAGTCATTGTGCTATGTAGGAGGGTGTATATATATATATATATATATATATTTATATATATATATATATATATATATAGGCAATTGAAATAGTTGGCTGCACTCTCGGATTTCCTGAAAATGTAACTTTTATTGAAATATTTAAGAGAAGATCAATGTTTCAGTCCCTCTTGTGGACTTTCGTCAGGATCAGTGTGCAGCCAACTATTTCAATTGCCTATATATATATATATATATATATATATATATATATATATAGGCAATTGAAATAGTTGGCTGCACACTCATGCTTACTACAGACAAGCTCACTGTACACACATGCTCACCACAGACAGGCTCCGACACACCCATGCTCCTTACAGACAAGCTCACTAACACACACACACATATGATCCCTACAGACAAGCTCACTGACACACATACAAGCTCACTCACTAGCAGGCACACACACACAGGCTCCCTCACTAGCAGATGTGCGCACACACACACACAGAGGTAGACAGTCACTGACACCCAGGCAGACAGCCACACACACACAGGCAGACAGTCACTGACACCCAGGCAGACAGCCACACACACACAGGCAGACAGTCACTGACACCCAGGCAGACAGCCACACACACACAGGCAGACAGTCATTGACACCGAGGCAAACACCCACACATACAAAGACAGGCAGACAGCCACACACTCACACACAGGCAGACAGTCACACACACACACAGACAGTCACACACTCACAGACAGTCACACACTCACAGGCAGTCACACACAGACAGTCACACACAGACAGTCACACACTCACACAGACAGTCACACACTCACACAGTCACACACTCACACAGTTACACACTTACACAGGCAGTCACACACAGACAGTCACACACTCACAGGCAGTCACACACTCACAGGCAGTCACACACTCACACAGAGACAGTCACACACTCACAGTCACACACTCACACTGCAGGCAGTCACACACTCACAGGCAGTCACACACTCACACAGAGACAGTCACACACTCACACACAGTCACACAGTCACACACTCACACAGGCAGTCACACACAGACATTCACACACTCACACACAGTCACACACTCACAGTCACACAGTCACACACTCACACAGGCAGTCACACTCAGACAGTCACACACTCACAGGCAGTCACACACTCACACAGAGACAGTCCCACACTCACAGGCAGTCACACACTCACACACAGTCACACACACACAGACAGTCACACAGAGACAGTCACACACTCACAGGCAGTCACACACAGACAGTCACACACAGACAGTCACACACTCACACAGACAGTCACACACTCACAGGCAGTCACACACAGACAGTGACACACTCACACAGAGACAGTCACACACTCACACAGAGACAGTCACACACTCACACAGAGACAGTCACACACTCACAGGCAGTCACACACTCACACAGAGACAGTCACACTCACACAGAGACAGTCACACACTCACAGGCAGTCACACAGAGACAGTCACACACTCACAGACAGTCACACAGAGACAGTCACACACTCACAGACAGTCACACACTCACAGGCAGTCACACAGAGACAGTCACACACTCACACAGACAGTCACACACTCACAGGCAGACACACAGAGACAGTCACACACTCACACAGAGACAGTCACACACTCACATAGAGACAGTCACACACTCACATAGAGACAGTCACACACAGATAGTCACACACTCACATAGAGACAGTCACACACAGACAGTCACACACAGACAGTCACACACTCACCTCCTTCTTCCCTCCTGCTTGCAGTTCCTGGAGGCTGGTTGTTGGGGAAGCAGGGACTCCTACCTGCTTCCCATGCTGCAGTCAGCCAGGCCCCCGCCCCCGCCAAGCCCCGCCCCCGCCCCACGCTAAGCCCAGTTAGCCCCGCCCCCGTCGCACTAAGCTCCGCCCCCGCCGCAATTTTATTTTTTTTAATGATCCCGGCCGGCCGTGTGTGAGCTGTGCCGGCCGGCTCCCCCTGCTCCCATGGGGCTCTGTGCGGCCGGAGCTGTCAGCCCAATGATTAGGGCTGTCAGACCGGCCCCAGGTGCCGCGGCCCACCGGGAAATTTCCCGGTATCCCGGTGGGCCAGTCCGGCCCTGAGCACAGGTATACATTCACACAGCAGCTACAATTTATGTAATTTTAATGTGTGGTATGCTGCACTGCACCCGGCTATCTCTGCCTTGTGCTTAATGCTCACACAAGTAAGTCAATTACTGAACTGCTGCCCATCACTGTAATGCTGTTAGAGACAAGTTTGCTTAACACTACCAACTCACACGGTGATCCTCAGCCCTCCCATATGTATACCAACAATTCCTATGTTCTCCCAGAGGTGACACAGGATATGGGTGCAGGGCCTCAGTCTGACCGCCCTCGCCTTTCACCCGGAATCCAGGTCCAGCAGAGACAGTATACATAATTATTATGCATGTAAACAATCACTTACAGATGTATATAATGATAATTGTGTATCTCCCGATTGGCTAAGGTTGTAAATCTACATGGATTATGTCCCCTATACATGTACACACACACACACATTCATCCACATTACAAAGTGATTTGACTTTAATTTTCCAGTAGAATAACTTTAAAAAACATCCAGACTAAAGTAATTGATCTGGAAGAATACAAGATTAGGTAAATGTTTCAGCAATTTTGGACTAGATTATCAAATTTCATGGGGAGAAGAGGGGGTAAATTACCTAATTTTCTGGCATCTCTGTAACACTCTGATATATTTGCATAATTTGCACAGACCCAATGGTGACATTGCTGATGGAGGTCTGGTAGCCAGATAGAGAAGGGTTACATTTACCTGAACCTTTCCCTCAATGCCATCTTCTTCAGTTTCAAGCATTAAATATCTAGGAGCCAAAGTCAGTGCTGTACTCTTGTGCACGTGCAACACCGATGTCTATAGAGGAAGAGCTTCCCCCCCCCCCAGCAGCCATCACTGTGAATGGTTGGAGGAAATGTCAAGCTTGACAAAAAGTTAACTTCCCTTATTGTGTTGGAATATCAGTGAATTTCAAAAACAGTCACTGAGTATTTCATAAAGATTTTCTCTATATGAAATACTGATATTGGATTTGGGGGGGGGGGGGTGGGATGGGGGACAATGGGAGGATTTTAACAGAGCGGTTTTAATTAATGTAGAATTTGCATGTAAAAAATTACCATGTGTGAATCTTAGATATGTGATGTATTGAAAACACAATGAATAGAATATGCTTTATTATAAAAATCTAATTATTAGCAATAAAGGAAAACAAATACCATAAAAATGTCACATATGTTTAAACACAATTAAAAATAAATATAACTATTTTAGAGTTTAAATATACATTGTGCAATAAGTTATTTGCGTTCTAGTATATTGTCCATATTTAAAATCACATGTACTTATTAAAAGTAATAGAGAATTACCATAAGCTATTCCTTTTTAAGAGATTATCCATATAGACCTTCTCTAGATCTCCCTCTCACACGGCTTGGTCTGTGTTAGCAGGGAGGAAGTGACAAGCACTCACTTCCTCCCAGCGGTGCGATATTACAGGGGCCCGGTCGCGCTGTTAAACAGCCACAGAACAGGTACTTTTCCATATGGCTACCTCTGTGTGCACCAAACCCATCTCTAGTGTTTATCAGCAAAAACTCTATTTTGGTTTCATCTGACCATAGAACCCAATTTTGTATGAAGTTCCAGTAGGGTCTGGCAAGATGAAGACACTTGAGTTGTTTTGGATGAGGTGCCAATATTCATGGAGGGCACTGTATGGTGTTGATTGTCTAGCATCACAAATTCAGGTCTCTTGGATGGCCTGTGTTTGATGATCCATTGTCTGACACTTTTCCATGATGACCCAGGACATTACAATATTAGTTTGTGTGGACAGCAGGTTGACGGCGCAGGTCAGCCTCCTGGTAGCCAAAACCATGGTTTCCAGCAGTCCATCCATTCTGCTTGGCCTTACTTGGCCATGAGGGAATCCATCTGCAAACACAGGTTGTGGTGGCCCTTGCTGAATAGCCCCACCACAGCTTCCAATATGGACCCTGGGTCTCTTTCCTCCTGTGACTGCAGGGAAGCACGAGACATCCTGGATTCTGCAGGGACCACCTAAATCTCAATGACACAAGGACAAGCATGAGTGTGCCCCTCTCCCAGCAGATTGGCCAAGTTGACCTGAAAAAGATGAGACAGGGGGTTAATTGTGCACAAAGAAATAAGTGGATATGTTGTAGAGATTCTGATATGTACTTGCCTCTGTGCTATCCTTTTACTAATGCATGGTACATGGTTTTATGTGAAAGGATGATACAATTTGTTACACTAGAAATCATTAAAACTTATAGCAACGTTGATACAAAGCAAAATGTATCTACTAAGATCTGTATGAGTTTTAAACGAACATTCTGGACACCATAACTTCATTGGAATGCGAGGAGGTTCCCGGGCACTTGCTTACCTCGAGGGGTTAATTTGTTAATGGACCCCCAAATTGTTGAATCAGGCACCCAATCACAGTCCTCGAACATCCACGGCAGCATTACAGAAAGCCTCGTAAGGAGACACTGCTGGTAGACTGTGAGCATCTGTCAGCAGCTCTTTACAAAATCATGTATTACTCAAGCAGTTTTGTGAACGGGGAGCTACTGAGACCGTCAGCTGAGCATCTGATACAAGCCTTAAACTGCGGCATATGTTCATGGGCAGAGCAGTTGGGCACTGGATTAAACACTTCAGGATTAATCATTCCAAAGAAGTTATAGTGCCCAGAGTGTCCCTCTAATGGATCGTGTCTTATAATTGGATTAACAGTGAATTATTGTAAAATGGCTGAAAAGTGGAATGCTAAAATAATGATTGTGTGCGTGCATACCTGACAGCACTGCTATATGGTTTTGAACATTCTACCATTTAACAAGTGAATGTTTATGTAAAAAGAGTGTATTCATGTGGATAGATTAACATGCAGGATTGTTCTAAGATGTATAATGCCCCCTTTATGGCATGGAATGTGTTTTGTACAGAACTGAACCCAAGTATATTTTATGTGTGTAAAGAAATCTGTTTATTTAGCAGTGATGCTGCATGATGTTATGTTTCATCCATTTTGCCTTTTATATTGATAAAGAGTGATATAGATATCTATATATCAATATATGATTAAAGCATTTATAATTAGGATATAGTTTAAAATGTAACAAAGATCAAGTGACAGCAGTAATAAATAGAGGCCTATGGAATGACAACTTAGAACCTGATAATGGATAATTGTCTATCATGTGTTAATTTAAATTTAAAAATGTAATATTAATGTGTAACAGTATATTTAAAGGAACAGTACAGTATCTAGAATACAAAGGTGTATTCCTGACAGAATAGTTGTATAAAACACTGTTTAGGTCCCCAGACCCTCTTTTAAAAAAAAAAAAAAAAAAAATGGTACTAAACCACTGCCTTGCTCCACCTGTGGCTGATATCAACAAATTTGACAATCTCTGCCAATCCAATGCCTTCTCATAGGAAAGCATTTGGAGGCTATTGCACATGCGCAGCGAAAGGCCATACTGCGCCAATCAGCATCTCCTCAAAGATACATTGGATCAATATATCTCTATAAGGTGCATTCCACATCTATGGAGAGTGTCAAGATGCTGAATGCATGTGATGCACACTGTGCAGCACTGACCCAGGAATCTCCTGTGGCGACTGCCACTAGAGGGGTTACTAGGCAGTAATGTAAGCACTGTCGTTTACATTAAAAAGACTGCAGGGTCAGGCTGTAGATACCAGAACAGAATACTTACATTAAGCTGTAGTTGTTCTGGTGACTATAGTGTCCCTTTAAAGGTTTAAAAAAAAAATAGAAAAAAAATAAAAGTATTCACTAAAAAGTGAAGGGAATTGCCAAATTTTGACAAAAGTAGCTGATCTAGAAAAGAGCTGAAGTGGAACATTTCTCAAGTTCAGCTATTTTGGCCTGGATTTTTAACACGGCTCCCATAGCATCCACATATTCCCTCAATCTGTCTGGCTTTCTTCCTCAATGTGCCGACAGATGGGCCAAATAGGATCCTATCTTTGTTGACAGCAGCTACCAGCGCATACTTTTCATGGTGGGTAAACTTGGGCCTTGCAAACAGTCTTGTGTGAGCCATGGACACCTACACTTCCTTTTAGTGAATGTAATGCTCAGAGTATTTATGTGCCTCCTCTGCTTACCACCGCTTCATCTGTGGAACTTCTACTCCTATGAGACCCTACTTTTCCTCCACATCTGGGTAAACCGCCCCCAACTTGCTCCATCCCATACCGCTTGTATATGTACCCTCCTTCCCAGAGACGTAACTAGAAAATTGCCCTGGGTCCCCCTCCCATATGTTCCTCCCTCACATGCAAACAGATACACATGCGGACACACACATACACATACATACAGACTGACATACATACAGAGAAACATTCCTACAGTCACACATACATACAAACACATACAAAATGTTTTAGTCACCCGCCTGTTTCCTACATTTTAGGTGCAGGAAGTTGACTTTCCCATGTGTCCAGTAGCTCACCCGATGGGCCCTTGAACACGCGAGCCGGGGCCGCATTACTTAGCTGGCGGGCACCGTGGTCACATGGGTCCGCAGGGCAGTCGGGGCCGGTCGTAATTACGACCCCTGTGACCGCGGTAGTTCCGCCACTGCTCCTTCCATACCCCCCTTAATAACCCTTCTCCAGCCCTCCCTCCATGGCTCATTATTAGCAAACAAACACATAAACCACTCACACTGTTCCTCACAAGCTAGATAGTGAAAACATCTAAAATGGTGTCACGGGGGGAGGAAGGGAGGGCTTTATAGTCTGCAGGAGCATTGCATGCTGGTAGTGCTGCCTGATTGGCTGTAGTGTCTGTGCAGTGAATATCTGAATCTCATTTGTCAGGTCTGCAGAGAATTGCAACGTGTATATACGCTCAGTTATATATAGCGGTAGCAGGTGATAAATTTCGTCAGATCAAAATTTCTCTGTGATTTTATTTCGGGCAGCTGAATGTACATATGGTTCGGCTGCTAGAATTTCAACTGGCATTAAATCTAGTCGAAATTCAATAAAATATAAAACTTATAAGATTACAATTTTCGACTGGGTTTTGATGATACAATGGAATTGAGGCCTTACATTTTATTCCATCTTTCCAACATTAGCGCACAATTGGAATTTCCATAGTCAATCCTGACAATTTACACTGTAGTGTAAAATCCTTTCTATAGCATTCACACTCTCTAATATTTGTTTGCATGGTGTTGTCAAAGCAGTTATTTAGGGTTTTTCATTAAAATGAAAATTGTAAATTTACTGGTAAGTTTTAGTGAATGACTGACAGGGTTATACACTAAACTCCAGATACTTTTGAAATTGAAAGCTCAATAGACTAAATTATCTTATTTAGAAAAATTTGCAAGCTCGGGATATAGTCATAGCTTGGCCATTCTACTTTTTTTTTTCCCCAGTTGGCTTTTGAGTTGCTGCAGTACAATGTGAATTGTCAGAAACCAAGTGAATTCAATTTGGATTTAAACTTTTAGACTAAATCAGATAAACTGAAAACATTGCTTACTTAGAAAATTGTTACAGCTATAAGATATTATAGCCTAGAATTTGAAATTCAGTTTGAATTCTCAACAGTTCATACTTTAATTTATAACTATGTCGAGTTTATTTACTAAACCACAAATTATGGCAGAATCAAACTGGAACACTTTATTTTATTTTCCACAATTCGGTGTTAAATAAATCAGTGTTCATTTTGACCACTAACAATTTTAGCAGACTAAAGTGTTTGAGATTTAATCGACTAAAACTAGATTCAATCTAAAACAATTGAAATGACTAAAATATGACTAAAACTAAAATGACTTCTTAGTCAAAAGACTATGAAAAAAAAATTAAATAGAAATTTGCCGCCAAAAAAAAAAAAATAATAATAAAAAAAAAGAACAGAGGGGCTGTGAAAGGGGGAAAAGATACAGACCATTTTAGTGAATCACTGTGATTGATTGATTGTTTTATCTTTATCCATAAACTTGTATCTGTGTATTTTTTACAATAGATAAAAAATTACTTCAGTGTTTTTCCAGATAACCTATTTATACCTAAAACTTGCAATTCCCTTTTCAATCCGCCAGTTAATAACCCTATTAGCTATGACAACACATGATCTAATTAGGCATAGTTTATCTCACTATTGTTTTACCCAAAACAAAAACCTTTGGAGATAAATGCATGCATTAAACATCTGATATTGATGATAAGAGCTTGTATATTAACATTAAAACACCAAAATAAGACAAACAGCTTTTTAATCTTGCTGTTGAGTAGGTAAACGGTGAGATTAACCCTTTCCGTGCCAAAGGTTTAATCCAAATATTGGGGTTTGCTCTCTTAACGCCAATCTGCAAATGGAATTAAAAAATGACTGAAAACTTAATGCCAAGCTTGGACTACAGCTGAGATGGAACATTTTTCAAGGATTGAGCCATATTTGCCTCAATGTTGCCATTCAGACTTCAATTCACTGTAGTTTGGAATTTAATGAATTAAACCAATTGCTGTGATTGTGATACCAGTGATATGCTAATCTAATAAACTACAGTCTGAATCGCATTAACAGCTTTTGTGGTTACAGATTGGTGTTAGATGAAAGACATCCATTGCCTAGCAGCTACAAAGAGACACTTGCCATTGATATAACACACAGGGGAGTAACAAGAGGGCTGGGTGATAATCTCAGTTTCCCATGCGCCCAATACAGCCAGTCTTCCTGCTATGACAGAGTGTGTTAATAAGTACCCTATGCTCCCTGCAGGACATCTCTCCCTAATCTGTGCTGTGGGAAGACAGACTCAGTGGGAGCTGTGCCTGCCTCCTCCCAAAGCTCCTCCTGTCTGTATGCACAGCCCTGCCCAATGCACTCCCAGCAACAGCAATAGCTAGTTGGCTGATCATAGTGTCTCATCTCCTTGGTTCATTCAGCTTTCTGCCTGGATCGCTTCTCCTATGGATCTTGTGAATTACACTGTGTGTGGATTAGCCCAGAGGATTTAATGTTATTGGGGTCTTTTTTGGAGGATGCATTGCATAGTCATAGGGTCCAGCAGCTACCCTGTGCAGCCTTGGAGCTGATGAGCCTGGCAGCTTCTGTTAGTGAGCTGGCACTGCCAGTAACCAGGTAAGCTAACCAAATACAGACACAGAACCCTGTCCTACCTACCTCCCCCTCCCACTGGTAATTAAATATATCAGTGTAATAGTGAGTGCAAGATGCGGGTTTAACTGTTGTGGTTTGTTGTCCAGCTCTAAAAATAATCTCTGTTTGTCTGTAACCGTTTACTGGAGTTCTTTGATCGATAATCACCACCAGATTAGCATTGGATAAAGACTGGCCAACCGTTGGCTCGCCATCTGTTATGAGCTACAGACTGCTGCCTGAGTATGATAGGAGCAGCAGTCCAGAGAGGTATTATATCGGCGTGATCTGTAATCCACGCCGACTGGTTTTTGTACATGGGTGCAGCTGGATGAGCTTAGAAGGAGTTGCAGTCCCCAGCAGGTTGATAACTTGTGGCCGGCTGGCCCTGCTCTAGGTGTAACTAGTGATGTATGTAAGTGATCTGAGCTCAGTGCACCTGTTACCGGTCTATGGACAGAGCGCCCCTGTCAGGTTATTACATGGGATTCCATTCCTCTGCAGCCTGGGTCAATATATACATTAGTTACATTGTAGCGGCTGGTTTGTGGTCATGTTGTATCAAATGGTGTAAAGATTCTAAATTATTCTCACCATGAGCTGTTGTTGGTTTTGGTTTTTTTTATTTTTTTTTTGTGTGTGTTTTTTTTATTTTAAATATTTAACCAAATTGTGAGGCCCTTGCTAGTATTAAAGAATCAGCTAAGTGGGAGGCAGCACACCCCCTGCTACACATGGGTCTCCTCATTATTTTCTTTTCTGGTTGCTAAGGGGGGGGGCTTTACTTCCGGTTTACACTGCCTAATCCCTGCAAATTCACATGAGTAGTTTAGAAACAAGATAAGAAGACAAGACAATGGGTCTCACTGCTTGCAACACCCACTCAGCAGAGGAAACCTGCTTTTAAATGTAAATAATCACTTCACTCATCCAGATACAACTTTTATATAATTAAGGTAGCTGTCCAGCAGACACGACACGGTGGCACTTTATGGGGCATACATTATAATCTGTACACTAGAGGGGAGATTTATTTATATATATATATATATATATATATATACAAGTTGAGGCAACGCTTTAAAATTGGAGCCATTCATATGGAAACTGACTGACTATTCCTGTTGATTCTCCTGGTTTCTATGGTGATTACTCCAATTTTAAAGCGTTTTGTTTTTTTTATCACTCACTATTTTTCAGTTAGTGATACATTTTTAATATTTTATTTAATTTTTTTATATAAAGCTTTCCTATAATTTTTACGTTTTTTTATTATTATTATTATTATTATTTCTAAAGCGCTAACAAATTACGCAGCGCTGTACAATGGGTAGTTCGCCGTTGTTCTATACACACTGACAGGTTTATTTTCCAGCTTGTGAATTTTCAGTAATTCAAAGTGGTTCTTCACTAACTAGTTTTAGCAAGTTAAATCCAAATGGCAAAAATAGAGGCTTAAAAAGGAGATTTGAAAAATCTCCAGCAAGGTCAGTTTGACTATTTTAGTCTATATTTTGCCATTTGGGTTTGATTTCATAGTGAATAAACCCCAAAGTGAATTTCAAATCTTAGGCCACAAAAGCTCATTGGGGGAAAAAAATCAACTAGTCCACTATTATGGCCTAAACAATTATATATGTGAAATTCCTGACAATTCACGTTTTAGTGAATAACGCTACAAGGGGTTTATTCACTGAACTCTGAACTGTGTCATTGAAAATTGAAAAGCAAAATGTAGGATAAAACAGCTACGTTGTTACTCTAACATTATTGTGGAGTTATCCATATAATTTATTTTGGCTTAATCGCCACTGCTATGCACTGCACCTTGGTGTTTAGTGAATGATCCCATACATTTTCTGCAATTGCTTGTGATCAGCACAATCTAATATTTAAAGGAGCACAGCAGACACAGAGCAGTTCTGCTGAAGTCTGTAATTGTTATGACAATTAATAAAATGGCGGATTTCAATAGAAATTGGCACTTTTATAATTGGGGCAGAAACACCTCTCTGGCTTACATTCCGACAGTTAGAGAAGTTCTTGTTTCAGCTTCTGTTAGCTCCACAAAGCTAACAGAAGTGACGGGCGCACTGGGCTGTGTCTGCCTTCCCCCCTTCTCAGTGAGCTGTGCTATTGCATAGGAAAGCTGCGACAGTGTGCGCGCGCATGCACACTGCTTTTAAATGTGAAGCCTCTGACTGTCCAATTCCATAGCACAGAATGAAAGTCTATGCCTTGGAAAGAGGGAAGGGCTTGCAAAGGCTGCAGACAGCAGGTCTGTCACTTTTTCCACAGCGCTGTTACAGTATACCACTGATTATGAGCAGCTATATGAATGTGATCTTGTTCACACCTATTAAAATGGCATGGTGACCCCCTTCTGGGTCCCTGCCCACGAACCATTGCCCATAGACACCTGGAAAAGAAAATGTTTGTATGTGTATTTTAGTTTAATAAACACAAATATAATTACATTGATCTATTTTTACTAAAAAGAACATTTTACGTTAATCTCCATTCAAATATAAAAATAGCATGATTGTTATTTTTGCGAAGGTGGACACCCTAGTTAAACAGCTGGGAAAGGTACTCTTTTGTACAACTTATTGGAGTGATGTAGAAATTAATAAGACAAAAAAGTTTATAATTTACTTTCACGACTGAAATAAACTGCTTGGGGTTTATCCACTAACTTGTGAATTAAGAACTAAATATGCAAATTTTTGTCAAAATAGATTAAATTATAGCTTAATTACAGATTTTTATATTCCAGCTATTTGCCACAGATTGTGGAAATTCTTGTTTTCCGTTCCTTGTTTAGTGTATGATCTCCTAACAAATTAATGGAATGTCTACACTTTGTAATATAATAACAGCGATGGCTAATCTTAGTTGAGATCCTTCTGAACTCCATTTTCTAGAGGTTCACCCAATCTGAGGGTATTGAGGGCAGTAAAGGTTAGTCTTGGTCCTTAATGAGTTAAATCCCTTCTCCCAGAGAGAGAGCTCCTTTAAGTGGCAATGTTTATATGCAAATAAGAGGTGCATTAGGGAAGAAAACCAAAATGTTATTCCTTGCTCTGTGTTTAGGCCTGGTAAAACCGCATTTGTGTCCTTCAAACCATTAGCAGTTGATTCTTGATAATGTGCATTACCCAGCAACCATTCTTTAATGAATAACTCCCCTTGGCTTGTAAATAATCAGCGTACTCATGGCACTGACCACCCCCTCCTCCTCCAGTGTCATTGTACTTGAGCCTAGTTTGTTCTGGCACAGACATTGTGTTTCCAACAGCAAAACAAATATCGGAGTGTGTTTTTATTTTCTTTTTTATATTCCATCTAGTGCACCCCTCATGTGCACAAGACCATTTTTATTTTTTAAATTTTTTATTTTTATTTTAGTGTATCGGACTGCAAATAATGTAGAGCTCTGTTCGTTTGATGGGGGGGAAAAAAAGTCGGGTCTGATTTGAATTCACTTTGCATAATGTTTGCATTTGAAACATCCAAAATTGTATCCTGATATTTATATCAACCTATTTAAAATATTATACTTTGCTATCTCTAAAACACTGTGCAAGACATGTATCCTTGTATATCCTGCTTGATTTGATCTTGTAAAAACATTTTGAGTCTTGTATTGGATTTAAAAATGTGTGTGTGTGTGTGTGTGTGTGTGTGTTGACCAACAAAACAATTTTCTTTTCTTTTATCAATATTTTCCTACTGAGCATCCCCCCCTTTCTCCAAATGTGGCCTAACTGTGGTAAGATTAGTCTTCAGAAGACAAACCTATTATTAACTGGTTTTGGAGTTGATTCTCTTAGTATCGTGTGACAAGCATTTTTTTTCCCCTCTTTCTGTCAATTAAAAGTTCCTCTTAAAAAAAAAAAAAAGCACAAAAATCTTTCACCTACCCTATACCACCTCCTCCTTCACATGATTGTACTGAGGGAAAAAAAAAGACTTACTAAATGCTGGCTTTGTTTTGCAGGGGCAAGCAGAGGACTGCACCAGGGAGCTTCATGCAGACAATAGATGTGAAAAAAAAAATCTCAAAAGGCATTAGATGACAGTTTGGTTCTTGAGACAACGTATTAACAGAGCACTGTGGTTCTAAACCATAGAAGTCCTAATCCCAATGCTCCCATGGTTGAGACTATGACGTCTCCCGCCAATGTCTGTGGGAACAGCACTATAGTCACCTCTCAATCAAGAGATAAGAGTGTCTCAAGAACAGTATCTGAAGGGAATTATTACAATGGGGCAGATGGCAGCAGTGAGAAAATAGAGGACGAAGAAAAGTTAAATTCCTCTAAGTTGACACACTGTTTGGCCCCACCAAAACAGCGAGCAAGCGCCAGTAATGAAAGGCCTCATTCTATGGTCAGTACGAGCAACTCATCAACATGGAATGCTTTATCCTCCTTGAGAAAGATGGGTTCTTTCAAAAAATTAAAATCATCGGTTCTTCAAGGAATTCAGGCAAAAGAAAATGCAAATAATTTAAACAATCAAGAGTCCGGAGGAGATCTAAAGAGGTGCTCCCCTAATGATGGAGGTGGAAGTTATCAAATGCCCTGTAGGTTAGTTAATGCAAGGCCCATGCAAGAATGTTATAACGTGATGGATGGTCTGCAGTCAGATGGGTCGGACATAGAGGAAACTGATAACACCTTTTTGAGAAGTACTCATCGATCACGGAGCATTAGACGTGCATACGGTGCAGGTCGTATAAACCTACTAGATGATGATAAAGTACGTTCTTGTCGTAGCCCTCAGGCCCTATCTCCTGCTAGGCAAGAACAAAGCATCTGCAAAATCATAGTGAAGGATTCAGAAAGTAACCGAATTGTTTACAGAAGGAGTAAAAGCACAGACAACCTGAACTTCCTCAAAAAAAGCTCATTCAAAAGGAAATCAACATCTAATCTTTCAGATGTAAAATCCAACAGTGAAAGAGAAATTCTACAAAAGTCCATGCTAAGCACTTCAGCCGATTCTGAGCGTTTGGGAGGAACTCCGGAAAGAAGTTCAAAACGTTGGAGGAGTCCTATTAGAGCAAAAGATTTTGACCGAGTATTAAAAATTATGGGCAATGTCACAGATGGCAATCGGAAAAAAGAGCCAAATAAGAGCACTTCTTTATCAGCTGATGGAACCCATGGGAGTAGGCCTAACAGTCGAATTACATGATGATTACTCCAGGAGAGTTTCTAGTAGTGCAGAGAATGAGAGGAGAAGGTGCTTGTTTAACTCTCCAACATCAGAGACTAAATGTTTGAGTAGTTCCAACCTGTCCCAGTTTGAGAATCTGGAACATGAAATGAATGCAATGCCTACTGACCATAAAACATCAGAAGACTGTAGTGTGTCTCCTACGTGTAGCAGCTTGAACCAGTTGGCCAATGAGGTGTTTTATTCAGACTCTGAGGAGCCTAAACACATGATCCATTCATTATCTGAGAATGGACTTCTTGGAACGCCTCTGAGACCTACTGCACCAAAGCCTCAGAGCCCCAGCACGGAATTGTACAAGTCTAGTATCTCTATCCATTCCCCGAACCATCTCAGCACTTTATCCCTTAGCTCGATGGAGAGTGATGAAAGAACTGAGATAGCACTCCCAAAGGTTGATCGGAGCCCCTACTTTTATAAAGACACCAAAAAGTCAGTGTATTCTGATGATGGCAATGAGGATAGTGGAGTCAGCAGCCACTCTCAATTGAGTCTCAATGTTGTCAGTGAAGAAAAACAAGAGGAGGTAAGAACCTTTTCCATGTCTAGAGGGGTAAACTTGGGTATTTATTGTATATATGCCTTCACAATCACTAGTGGGGTGTTTTGAAGTAAAGGTATGTTTTTCTTCTTATGTATAGCAAGTTCTGGCAGTCAAAACCTAGATCATCAGGCCAAATTGAGGATGTCCTACTTTAACATAATAATTTGAATGAAATGAGTGATCCAGTGAAATAATTATTTTATTTATTTATTTCAGAACATTTAAGTTGTCTGTTGCCATAAAATAATGTAGGTCAATTGTTGATCCAGACTTCCTCCTTGTTTTTTTTAATTTTTTTTAGAGTGTCTGTCGTCATTTATGCAGCTTTTTGTTGTCATAAAATGTGAATATTGAGTTTTAGTTCTGTCAAAGGGAAGCACCGTTGCCTTTGGCTCTGATCGTTTAACTTTGGCAATGTTAGGGGTGTGGAAGCGCAGAATATAATTTTCTTCTAAAACTTCTGGTGTAAACCTCTGGTGGATATCCAGATATTTTGTATAAGGAAAACATTAAATCACTGTAACCTACAGAGTAAGTCCTAAGGCTGCATTAGTTCAGTGTGTGCATGTGAGCTGTAGCCTCATCCCACGAGGTGTAAAGTAATGTATGTACGTAGGGAGAGTGCTACAGCTGTAACAGTCATGTGATTTTGTGCATGCAGCACTGGGCTGTTAACATTTTAGTACAGGACCTTTCAAGAAAACTATTTCAGGGCAGGAAATTGACCTGTTATCAATGTGACTTTGCTATTAAAGGGCTACTCTAACCACCTTAACCACATCTGTTTTTTGAAGTGGTTATGAAGGAAGCAATCAGTATGTTCAGCATTTCTGCTTGAAACATTGCACATACAGAGATATCTTCACTTTTGTGTGGGGGGCTAGTTGCAACCCTGGCGCAGGTGACTTAGACAGCCCAGAACTATGCTCTGGACTGCATAATATCAGTTCAGTGCTAAACTATGTGTGACAGATATTATGTGCTTCTACATTGCTGGAAGCACACCTGTTATTGGAAGCTTCAGTGTCCTCTCCTAACCTTCCTTATTTCATCTGTCTTCGACTCCCTGCATTACTTAATTTTTTTGTTTGTTTTTTTTACATTTTTTTTTTCTTTTTAAATATATATTCCCTCTCTCACTTACCCGGCTCAGAGCGTGCACAAGTGTTCTGAGCTAGTGCGAACAGTCCAATCAAATGCTTCTCTGTGAGAAGCATTTGAATGGACCTCGCAAGGGAATCGTGTACGTTGTATGTGGAGTCGAAACTAGCATGGGTATTTTCACCCAGCTCTGGATTCCAGGTAAGTTTAAATCTTAATATACAGTATATATGTATGCAGGGCCGCCATCAGAAATTTTGGGCCCATGACAAAGCACAAGGTCTGGGCCCTCCCTCCTCCCGGGCCCGCCCACGCCCTACCTAGTCCGCTCACAATGATGCAGGACTGAATGTGGTGTGTGTGTGTGTGTATAGTGGAAGTGAATTAGAATGTGTGTAATGGATGTAGTGTTTGTGTGTATTAGATACTGTTTGTGCAGTGAAAGCAGAGTTTGTGTTTGTGTAGCGGATGCAGTGTGTATAGTGAACGCAGAGTGTATTTGAGTAGTGGATGTAGTGTGTGTACAGTGATGTAGTGTGTGTTTGTGTAGTGGATGTAGTGTTTGTATGTACTAGATGAAATGTGTTTAGTGGATGCAGTGTCTGTAGTGTGTGTATTAGACGCAGTGTCTGTGTATAGTGAATGCAGAGTGTTTCAATTTGTGGTGGATGTAGTGTGTGTACTGTGAATACAGGATGTTTGTGTAGTGGATGCTGTGTGTATGTATGTTTAGTGTAGTGAATGCAGAGTGTGTGTCAGTATAGTGAATCCAGAGTGTTAGTGTGTAATGAATGCAGAGTGTGTGTTAGTGTGTAATGAATGCAGAGTGTGTGTTAGTGTGTAGTGAATGCAGAGTGTGTGTAAATTTGTAGTGAATGCAGAGTGTGTGTACATTTATAGTGAATGCAGAGTGTGTGTAAATTTGTAGTGAATGCAGAGTTTGTGTAAATGTGTAGTGAATGCAGCGTGTGTGTTAATGTGTAGTGGATGCAGAGTGTGTGTTAGTGTGTAGCGGATGCAGAGAGTGTGTTAGTGTGTAGCGGATGCAGAGAGTGTGTTAGTGTGTAGCGGATGCAGAGTGTGTATTAGTGTGTAGCGGATGCAGAGTGTGTGTAGCGGATGCAGAGTGTGTGTGTTTTGTTAGTGTATGCAGTGTGTTTTGTTAGTGTATGCAGTGTGTTGTGTTAGTGTATGCAGTGTGTGTGTGTGTTGTGTTAGTGTATGCAGTGTGTTGTGTTAGTGTATGCAGTGTGTTGTGTTAGTGTATGCAGTGTGTGTGTGTGTGTGTGTGTGTGTGTGTGTGTGTAAATGTGTGATCTGGGGGGGAGGGGGAGGAAGGGGCATTTTAACATTAATTTTTTATTAATTTAATTAAATGTTTCTCTCCCCTCCCTGCTTACTTATTTCCAGGGAGGGGGGAGATTACATCCCTGGTGGTCCGGGCTCCCTGTTACCGCAGAGGGGGCCCAGGCAGCACACAGCTTCTCCTCTATTCTAATAACTCTTGCGAGACCTGGTTACCATGGCAACGCTCCGCGGGTCTCGCAAGAGTTATGAGAAGAGAGAGGAGAGGAGAAGCTGTGTGCTGCCTGGGCCCCCTCTGCGGTAACAGGGAGCCGGGGGCCCGCGGCTGCCCACATAGATAGCGATATTCGCTATCTATGTGTTCAGAGAAAGAAAGTGGGGCCCAGGCCCCCCAGGGCCGCCGAGCCCGTGACAACAGTTGTCACCCCCTGATGGCGGCTCTGTGTGTATGTATGTATGTATATGTATGTATGTGTGTATATATATAATATTCGCCACGAAGAAAGGCACACGCTGGGCTTTTTGAAGAAAAGTATGTCTTTATTCATAACTCACGGGTTACAGCAAATCGACGTTTCAGTCCATCATAGGACTTTCATCATATTTTTTATATATATATTTTCTCTCTATCCAAAGTCTCCTTGCACACAGGCTAAAAGATATGAAATATTACCGGGTGCTGGGCCTGGTCATACAGACATGTAGAGTGGAAGGAGTTGGTCCGCAATCTTGGTGTTATAAAATATAACTTTTATTAATTTACATTAAAATATGCAAAGTTCGTCAACATTTCAGTCCCGGTTTGGGACTTTCCTCAGGACAGCATCTGTCAGCATGCTATCCTGCATGTATATGTGTGTATGTATATATATGTGTGTGTGTATATGTATGTATCTCTAACGGTTACTCTAAGGGTCATACCCACTATAGTCTGCTATATGTGTGTGTGTGTGTGTGTGTGTATGTGTGTGTGTGTGTATATATATATATTTATTGCCCAAAAGGGAATTATACATTTTAAAAAAATAATAATTTAAAAAGAATTATAGTAACCATTTAACTCCCTTTTAGTGAATAATTGAGCTTATCTTTCTTTTTGATGATTGAGATATACCAGCATTTTAATATTACTTGTGGGGAAAAAAAGACCAAATAGATACATTTATTAAAGGGACACTCCAGGCACCCAGACCACTTCTGCCCATTGGAGTGGTCTGGGTGCCAACGCCCACTACTCTTAACCATGCAAGTGTAATTATTGCAGTTTTTTATAAACTGCAATAATTACCTTGCAGGGTTGACTCCACCTCTGGTGGCTGTCTACTAGACAGCCAATAGAGGGCACTTACTCCTTCATAGCACAGAAAACCTGTGCTAGAGCGTCGCTGGACATCCTCACGCTGTGTGAGTACCTCCAGCGTCGCTCAATTCCCCATAGGAAAGCATTGAAAAGCATTTTCAATGCTTTCCTATGGGGAACTCTAATGCATGCGCATTAGGTCTCCCCGGCCGGTGGGCGGGATCAGCCCCTGGTAAGTTACTGAAGGGGTTTTCACCCTTTCAGCAACCGGGGATTGGGGGATGGGAGAGAGAGGGGACCTGCAGTGTCAGTAAAACTGATTGTTTTCCTGGCACTGGAGTTTCCCTTTAATAAAATCTCCTGACATAAAACCAACCATGTTTTCACAAGGTCCTTGGTTAACTCCACCAGCACTGAACATCAAGTGTCTTCCCTCTTGTTCAACTGGTTTGCCATTTGTGCAGTTTGATTTGGTTGTGTGATTGGTGGTTTGGTGTGCTGTGTTATGGGGAGTGGAAACTGTGTTTTGCTGCAGTTAAAATGTTGTTGCAGTTAGTGACTAATCACACAGAAGTTATGATAGAAGTCTGTTATGATAGAAAAAGTTGCTATTTTTCTTCCCCAATATATTTGCCTACATTTTTTAAGTAATGTGTTCAGACATATTATGTGTTTATCTAAAGAGAATTGTGTGATTTATAGCCGGTTTATTGCAGAACTGTAATGATACGACAAACACACACACACACACAATTTTGAAGCTCAGAGAATGTAGTAGTTTTATTTTTTATTTTTAGAACACCTCAACCAATCAAAAATTACAGTGTATACAATCATACACTGCATAAGACCGTCACAACGTCAAGGTACCCCAATCTTGGTCTTTCCTAGCAACTGAATGCCTGCTCTGAGATTATCCCACCTACTTTGGAAATCCTTCCCTGTGGGACTCTCTGCAGTGCAAGGTTACATAGGGCCCTGGCACAAAGGCACCTGTGACAACGATTTTAATTTTTTTTGTAGATAATCCTAATTACAAATAGAAAAGTGATGCTGTTTTCATTGTGCGAAGAAAAAAAAATGGGCTACATTTTAAATTATTAGAAGAATTGGTGAACTATAGCAATCTAAATTGAAATTTGTTTAGTGCTTTCTTGTCTGACTTTCATGATCTGTGATGTTGAACAATATTTGCAGTGTTATTGCCCCCAAGTGGCTAATGTAGTTAATGCAAGGAATCCCATTCACAGTGTTAGAGTGTAGCCTTTCTGTTTCTTCACTTGTCATTTACTACTAATTTCAGAGGATGTTGTAAGATCCTCAACGTGGAAGGTTTATACAAGTCTACACATATGTCATAAATGCTCAATGACTTTTATCAAACCATTATGTGTGAATTGGAATTTGGAAAGTACGTCACTGACTAGATGGGTCTTATCTCCTGAAATTTTTTTTTTTTTTTTACCATGCTGGTAGCTCAGCTGTGTGTTTTAATTGGTGCCTCCGCTTCTAGAACCACCATGATTGTAGATGGTCACTGTGCTACGTCTGCTAGAAATATTTATGAGATCAGCTCCAGTAAAACTATTTATTAGCAAAATGATATAAAGGTAGAAGAATGTGGCCTTGCGGCGCGGAACGCGGGACAGGAACCTCTGTTTCCTGTACCCGGCCGCCGGCGGACTGACAGGAAGTGCTCACTTTAAGTCAGGCGGCCGGGTACAGGAAACAGAGGTAGGGGAGGGGGGTAGGCAAGGACTACAGGGGGAGGGGGGAGGCAAGGACCACAGGGAGGGGGGGGCAAGGACCACGAGGGGAGGGGGTAGGCAAGGACCACAAGGGGAGGGAGGGGGTAGGCAAGGACCACAGAGGGAGGGAGGGGGGTAGGCAAGGACCACAGGGTGAGGGAGGGGCGGGGCGACCACAGGGTGAGGGGAGGGGGGGAGGCAGGACCACAGGAGGGGAGGGGGGGTAGGCAAGGACCACGGGGAAGGTAGGACCACAGGGGGGGGAGGTAAGGACCACCAGGAGAGGGGAGGGGGGTAGGCAAGGATCACAGGGGGAGGGGAAGGGAGGAGGGAGGTAAGGACCACCAGGGAAGCGGTGGTAAGGACCACCAGGGAAGGGGGGTATGGAACACAAGGGGATTGGAGGGGGGTAGGTAAGGACCACAGGGGGAGGGGGGGGAGGGAAGGACCACCAGGGGAGGGGGGTAAGGACCGGGGGAGGTAGTGACGCACCACAGGGGAGGGGAGGTAAGGACCAACAGGAGGTGGGTAAGGACCGAGGGAGAGGTAATGACCACCGGGGAGGAAGGGGGGGAGTAAGGACCACTGGGGAGGAAGGGGGGAGTAAGAACCACTGGAGGAAGAGAGGGGGGAGAAGGACCACTGGGGAGGGGGTGGGGGAGCAAGGACCACTGAGGAGGAGGGGAGGTCCTCTAAGGGGGTTTGGGAGAGGGAGGACCACTAAGGGGGAAAGGACCACCAAAGGGGATAAGTAGGGAGTGACCACTAAGGAGATGGGAGGAGAGTAAGGACCACTAAGAGGGGGGGAAGAGAGAGGATAATGACCACTGGGGGGGGAGGAGGGGAATGTCTACTAAGGGGGTTGGGAGAGGGAGGACCACTAAGGGGAGGGATGGAGGACCACTAAAGGGGAAAGGGGGGAGTGAGAAGAGCACCAAGGGGTGACTACAGGGGGCCAAGGGAGAGCACTAAGGGACAGGAGGGAAGGGGAAATCAATAATTGACAGGAGGGTGAGCACTATGCAAAAAATTAAAAAAATAAAGAGCTGCTCCCCTCTGTCCCTATCCTACCCCACAAACCCTCTCTTTTACACTACACACATACACAATGCACCCCCCCCCACACACACACACACACACAGAAACATACAATGCATTCCTACTCACACACAGACACACCCGAAACACACAATGCATCCCTTACGTTCACACAAACTCCTTCTCTTACACACAGAAACAAAATGCATCTCTTACACAATCAATGCACCCCTTACAGACACACACTGCATTCAATTAAATACACAGAAACACACCTTGCACCCCTTACACACAAACACACCCAGAAACATACAATGCATTCCTTACACGCAAACACACACTACATCCCTTACAGAAATTGGTATCCCTATACACTACATTCTATAAGAACACACACATGTTGCATCCTCTACAATAACACATAAAACATCCCCTACACACATACACTCCACTTCCTGTGAGAGAACTCACGGGTGGGCCATGTAGGTGGATTTATGGGTGGGCATTGTAGGCATACTCACGGTCAAGCCCTGGGGGCCCAGACCTTGAGCTGTGTAAGGGGCCCTAAAAAATGGAGCTGCTTCCTGTTCGTTAATTGTTGTGAGCACTGTTAAAAACAGTCTCCAGAGAGCCTCTTCTACACCAGACCTGTGGAGCCAGACAGAGCCCATCATCAGCCTCTTGTCCTCATCTGGTGGTAAGTAGGCAATCTAATATATTATTAGTGGCACTAATCTCTAATTGACCGCACATTAAATGGATAATATAGTCACCAGAAGCACTACAGCATAATGTAGTGGTTCTGGTGTCTATAGCCTGTGCCTGTAGGCTTTTTAATGTAAGCACACTGTCTTTTCAGATAAAAGACACTTTGTGAAGACTGGCGTTGGCCCATATGGCAGAGCATATGGGCGGGGCATTGTGATGTCACATGGTGGGCAGGAAATATGGGGGGGGGGGCGGCAAAAATTTTAAAGTGTACACCATAAACATGGATAAATAGATGCATGTCTTTTAACTTAGTCTCCGTATTGTTACCTAGATCAATTATGTTTTGATAACCATCAAGAAAATGTTACAATTGGCTCCCCTGTTTAAACTATAATATTTACGTTGCCAGCTGCCTAGGCTGTTGTTCAGTGTTGTGTTTTTAATAGATCATCCCTATGTGTGTCTGTTTTGCAAGGTGTTGATTTGCTGTTTTGAAGTGGAAATTACTAAGCATGTGGCGAATGCCTGCTCTATGGGTGCATTGCAAGACGCTGGTCTTAACAGATTCCGTTTCACTCAAGGCAAAGTTTAAAAAAAGGCCAGCAGTCCGATTGCATGGGTAATCCAGTGTATGCCTATTTTCACAACTTCCAAAACCTCAAGAGGAAGCGCTTGCAGTTACGCTTCTGAGTTATGAGAAGAAACGAAAAATATATATAATTCTGTGCTGGGTGAATAGGAAGGAAGTCTTATTACACATTTTGCCAAGTAGTTGCAAAACCATTTGCACTGAGAAACTTCGGTCTGATGAGCCTCTGCATTCATTAAATGCAGTGTTAGTTTTAGCAACGGTATGGGGTGAACATTTTCTAAAGAAAAACCTTGGGGAGCTGTCAGAACATCAAATCCATCTTTTAACCATGGACCAATTGATAAAAAAAGGGAGAAGGACCCGTCCAAAACATTTGGTGAGTAGGACCTCGAGGAGAGCAAGGAAAGGCACACCAAGCAGGTGAAAAACTACAGCTACTATTCATGTTCTTTCTAACTGAACAGCCAACATTGGTTTCCATTCCATGAGCCTTGTTCAGTAGACAGAAAGATGATTGAGATATACCAGCATTTTAATATTACTTGTGGGAAAAAAAGACCAAATATATACATTTATTAAAGGGACACTCCAGGCACCCAGACCACTTCTGCCCATTGGAGTGGTCTGGGTGCCAACTCCCACTACTCTTAACCACTACCCACTACTCTGATTTTAACTTTTTCAGTGACATTGAAACTCAGCAGTTAAGGCGTTTGTGAGTTAATTCATATCGGGTGAGATTTATCAAAGCAAAAAAGATGCTATTCTCAAAATGTTTCATTTAAGTGTGAGCTGAAGGATTTCGAAGTGAATTAAAAGTACATTTCAGTCTTTAGTCTAAGCTAGCTGAACATTACGGGAGTTTCTTAGATATGTCTTTTGTGGCCTAAAATTTTAAATTCACTTTGAATTTCTTGGCACTTTAGAGACTAAGTAGCAAGTGTTAAATGTTGAGAAAGGTTCTGTTGGTTTCCATGGTGATTGCTCCATATTTAGCACCTCGATCCTGAATAGCACTTGTTTTTGCCTTGATGAATTTTTTCCCAATTTATTTTTAAAAGTGAATTTTCTTTTAGGTGCTTTTAGTACCAAAAAACTGTGGGTCCAAGTCATAACGGAATGTAATGTCTTACTTCTGAATTAATAGACCAACGTTTTTTCACTAAACCCAGAATTTGAAGAAATTGCTAATTTTAAGCCAGAATAGAAATATTTTGGCTTAAAATTTGTATTTCCTTTGTCCGTTCTCTGTGTATCAACTGCCAGATAACAATTGTGTTAGGGATATTCACGGAGTGTGAATTGTCTGAAATATAAAGTGAATTCAAAGGGAATTTATAGCTAAATAGTTTAAAATTCTCCATGTTTTCAGTGGTTATTTTGGTCTATCATTTTTAAATTCACTTTGAATTCCTGGCAATTTCCACTTTAGGGAATAATTCTGTCTGCGGCCTATATTTCTAGAATTAATTTATTAATGAAAGGTTTACATCCATCAGAGAATTGGAAATTAATAAAATGTGCTGGTGCCTATGTTGTTCTTGATCTATAGCTGATAAGTCTTACCTCATCCTAGTAAATGGAGTGGCGTGAGTCACCCATAGACCATGAAAAGTCTTGTATAGTAAATAATATAAAACAAAACGAAACTGGGGGCAGGAATCTCCACTGAACTACATTAACCCTATTTTATTTCTCATCGGTGTGAACTTAAAATCTGCATTGGCAATAAAGGGACTTTCAAGTGTAGCTAAACCGGTTTTGCTAGTCTTTCGAGTGCTCTTTCAAATGTTTCAGTGAGTCGGACAAAGGACACTGAACCATCAAGTTTAATTTTACCAAGATAAAAACCCCTTTGTATTCCAGAAAAACAAAAAAAAACAAAGGCCCACATTAAAATATCCTCAATAAAAGGAAAAGACCTAAGAGACAACATGGAGATACTTCTCCACATAAATCTTAAAAAGAGAGTTTAAAAGGCGCTCTGTCACTTAAAAATTAAATATAAAAGGCATTTTGGCCACTGATATACCGGACACTAGTTTTCCCATTTGATGTTCATTTTTTGGTGCTGTTTCACATGCAACTGGTCCCCATTAGATACATTTTCCGTAAGAGATCCAGCGTTTCACATTGTGGGGGAAAGCCGTCTAGAAGCCATGAGAGCACAGCATCAATCAGTGTGTGATACATTTATACTACATCTTCCTCCGATTTATGTTTAATGGTCTCATGCCTGGGCCTGCATGCCAACTGGATCTATTTTTTTTAATTTTTTTTCGTGGAACTCTCATCTTAACTACCACGATCACCCACAGTTTGTGCCTTTGGGTTTATGTTGGTACTGGGACTTTGCTGCAAACCCAAGTGCACAGAGAGATTGACTAGGCCAGGCTGGATTGCTTACTGTAATATTTGGACTCTATCTAGGAGTCAAAGTTGGAAGCACCACAACGCCAGATATTTCTGATGAAATTTACCAAGACTGAACCGGAATCTGACTGCCTGAATACAGAATAGAGCTAAGACTGGAAGCCCTCACAGACATTTCAATTTGACCGGATTATTGAGAATGGCCTTGAACACTGAGAGGTCGTACATGATCAATTATATGATTAGGTTGAACTTGGTAATAGAAATATTCTAGAACACTATAATAGACAGGACTTGTCAGAACTTGACTGGAAATGGATACATCTATGGAAATCATGCAGTACAATCTTAGAAGATGAAATTATTGCATGCCACTGAAACTCTATAGTGCATGCTTTTTATAGAGGGCTCCTACCTGGTCTTCAAAGACCCAGCTGAGAAAAGTCTCCTAGTACTTGTGGAGCCCAAACTGCTGGACTCTTGAAGTAGACCAGTGATGTGACCTTTGCAACAGTACTGGAGGTTTCAAGAGATCCATGTAAGGATCTGGATTGACAATGGTCTTCCATTAGGTACCAGCATTAAATGAATCCATACAAATTGCTTTAATTTAAAAATAAAATGTTTTATTTATTAACTGTGATCCTATCTTCAGCACTGGAAGGCGGGCGCATATATGGCAGTTTCTCAGACAACCATAGGTTGGAATTGTAACTCAAGTGAAAATACACAGATGTGTGTTGTGTAGAATTTAGCATATATTCTAATGTACAGTTTAATACAATTGAAGAATGGGTTGCCAAGGTAATATTCTCCCTTTCCTTGGGCGTGCCCCCAGTCAGGATTGGTAGGGTAGAGAATCGTATTGCTCCCTTCACACACTTCATCCCCTATATACAAGGCATGCCTTATACACATTCTGGATCCCCACACACATACTGCATCACTTACACACACTACATCCCCTATACACACACTCTGGATCCCCTACAAACACACAAACAAACTAGATCCCCTGTACACCAATACACACTGCACCCCATAAACCTACACCACCTACAGCCACTACACACACTACATCCCTTATACACACACACACACACTAAAGCACCTATATACACACACACTCTCACTCTTTACAGCACCTAGACACAGATACTACAACCTCTGACTACATATATTACACCACAAACACAACACAACTAAAACTGACCGATTTACACAAAGCCCAACACCACAAACAACTCACTCTGCATTAATGCAATCCCACATGCAGCCTCCAAATGCATTTACAATGCTCTTTCCTGGCCCTTTTGTCCTTTGATATTCCACTTATGGAAACACCAGAGACAAGTCACAAGCAAAGGCAGCGCATGCATGTTAAGTTGCTTGCGCTGTGCAGAACAAACACAAAGCCTTTTTCTCATGTGGGCGGTCTCTGCGCATGATCTGCCCTTTAAGAGCATGGAACCAACATGCTCACTTTGGGGAACATGCATGTAATTGGCATGTAATGCCCATGCCGGATATTTTTAAAAGTCCGGTCCTGGTAAAAGGGTCCACTGCCTATGGGTCAAACAGCACATGGACTTAATTTATTAGTTATAGGGCACAGAGGGACTGCGTGCAAGGTAAGTATCTACTGGCCTTTTGTTCTTTCCTTCAAGGCTCTGTGGCAAACATTTATTTCCAGAGCTAATTGACGTCTGCGATTGTCTCCATTTATTTGTATGAACTGAAATTCCGTGTTCGATAACTGACGTGACCGGTTACAAGCTGTGACTTATGACTATAAATCTCCCCACGTCTTTCCTTATCACATAACCGATGTAGATATAATGCCGTTTTATAATACACAAACACTTCCTAGACATGCAACAAGATTCATCTAAAGACATTTGCTAAAAATTAACCCTTTTCACATCAACAACTTGCTATATTTTTTAATAACATTATATATAAGCTTCTGTTGTACTCTGTTTCTGTAGCAAACCCAAGCTGTATCTTAGCTCTGTCTCTGAATTGTGCTGCTGTTCCACCTCTTGAAATCGATGATGGTGGAGATTGCACAGTACAGAGAATATTATAAATCTCACTCCTGTATAATAAACAAGCCGTTAAATACTCATAGGTCTATAATTCCACCCTTCCAAATTAGGGTATTATTATTATTATTATTATTATTATTATTATTATTATTCCTCCATGCTTGGTGCAATTTTAATGCACAGCCCCTTATACAAATTTGTGAGGCTACTGGGCTTTTGAAGTGGATATATATACTCAGCACATCCAAGATATGCTTGTGTACCTCTGCTTTGCAATATGCTATATTGTAATTACAGATCATTCTAATTGAAGTGCACACATATTAACCCCTTAAGGACCAATGATAGAATTCTTCCCTCATTACAAACAGGTATTTGAAATATATCAAAATGTAATGTTCCACTCCTTTTAATAAACACAGGGCTTGTACAGATTCAAATAGAAAATAAATTGGGCAGTCCATACTGGCATAGGGCATATTGTGAATTTTAAAGGGCTAACAACTTTAACTTGTTTTGTTTGGTGTTCCAATGAAGCTAGTTATGAATTATTTATTTTTATTTTTTCCTGTGAATTCCTTACTTTTTTTTATTATTTCTGATGATCCTATGTTTTTTTTTTTTTCTTCAAAACCTTTTACTTGCTAAGTGTGTACATAGGTGACTTGACATTATAAATATAATAGGCTTATCATGCATGTTTATTTAAACTTATATAAATGTAGGTGTGTTGGTATAGTGGTGTATCGATAAACTTTTGTAAAGAAATTGTATAGATTATATGTCTCTCTCAAGCAGTATTTGACATTTCGATGCAGATTTTCATCATGGTTAGGCTTTGTGTTCAGAAAATTATTTTGTGTGCACACAATCATGTGCGTGTTTCTTGAATATTAACCTGAAAGTAGGCAATAGGACAAGTAAAAATTACTTCATTATTCTTTGGTGAAGTCAATAGAAGGCTCCAAATCACAACTCCACTAATTGGCAATTTGTTACTGGTGGTAAAATATATGTATATCTGTAGACAAAAATGAGATTTAAAAAATAAGTTAAAAATTATATATAATTACAGTACTAAAAGTACTATTGGCATTGTTCAGCTCTGTGAAATATGGCAAAATTCCATATTGAGTTTTTTAAATAAGGCAGACAAAAAGAAAATCTCCAGGCACTTGAGGTGTAAAATCCGCAGGCAGATTTAATGGAACAAAAACCAGCAGCAACGTTTCGACCTGCTAGGAGGTCTTTGTCAAGCTTAGCAGGTCGAAACGTTGCTGCTCTTTTTTGTTCCATGAAATCTGCCTGCGGCTTAAACACCTTGAGTGCCTGGAGATTTTCTTTTTGTCTGCCTGATCGTTGTGGGATTTCTGGTCCTGCTCCAGTGCACTGTGTGTCTGCTGGGATTGAGTGCAGCTCCTATTATAGCTATAATGTTGCTGTTGTGAGCTGTATAATATGTACTAATGCAATATATATAGGGTTGTTCAAAGTGTCTTGAATTGAAAGTGAATTTCAAATCTTAGGATAAAATAATAGAATTGAAAACCGTCAATTTGGCAACTTTATCCAATTCAGCTGCATACCTCTCAACATTCCTTATGGACATCGAGGAACATTTTAATTTTAGAGGTGTTATTGGGGATGTGGCCAGGGGTGAGCCTGTTCTGAGAGGTCTAAGGTGACCTCTTAATAAGAATTTATAAATATATGGAAGAGAAACAATGTATCTTACACCTACCATAATTTGTATGCGGCGAATCACGATGGGGCTGGCCCCAGCCATCAGGGCCATGCAGGGAGAGCCTGCTGCACGGCTTAATGATGCACTTGTGCTGTGTTGCCTGGGGACAGTTCTCTCCAGATGCAGGACACCAGGGAACTAAAGCAGGAGGAGAACCTGAAATCGGGGAAATGAGCATTGCTGTGACTTTCAAGTTTTAAGTAGTTTTGATAACCTTTGGGGGTCTTTGCATATTTTGTAAAGACCCCAATGATGACTTCACCACTTGGTGTGTAGTGGCCCGGGGTACATAGGAATGAAGGTATTATCTACCTGAAACTTTCTCTCGCAGCTGCCACCATCTCCATCTGGGGAATACACTTCAGCTATTGGGTCTTTATAGTGCTATGATTGTTGGGGACAGTTCCCTGGTGGGAAAAAGACAGGAAGGTGGGAAAAGTCCTAAAAATCAGGACTGACCAGTCAACATTGGACATTTAGGCGGCTTGGCTTTATCTGCCAGGAGTTCATGTTCGTGCTGTCCTTTTGTGCATGTGCGAGAATGCAACACTGATGTTTATGGAGGAACTCACAAGACAGAGGGACCATGCCTTTTTCCTCACAGCAGTCACTTCAATTTTTTGACAAGTGCTGGAAAAATTGAAAAGAGATGCCTTAATTGACGTGGAGCTCTGCTATACACTCACACATCAACAATAAGGAACCTCTTAGAAACAAAGGCCGTGGGATCTGGTCCCAAAATAGACTGTTTCTTCTATATAGGAATGCAATGCAACTATTTCGGCCTAACATGTTTAACATACATTACAATTGTAGATGTGTCAATTGATGGTTTATTATTTTCTTTTTATTGACATTTTGTGTATTCAATTAGAATTGCCTTTTGTGTAATAAATGAATGGGCCATATGCAGAATACTGAAAAACACATTTATAGCTATAGGGGCACCACACATGAAAATAAGCTGCAAACACTTACTCGTGCGGAAACCAACTTATCATCAATATCTATACAAAAAAATGGAATAAGATAGCAAGTTGTGCTAAGACTGCCTTAACCTCTTAAGGACACATGACATGTGTGACATGTCATGATTCCCTTTTATTCCAGAAGTTTGGTCCTTAATGGGTTAAAGCCAATATACAACCTACAAAACATCGGAAAAGACTAACTCTCTTCCTCTGTTTTGTGGACTGTGTTTATTATTTTATTTCTTTTAAGTTCCGCACATCTTGCTCTTATGTATAACTCTAGCTATTATTTGAATTCGCTCCCACAGTCCTTGGCCAAGAGTAGTGGGAGTTGTAAACGAGCGTTGAATGCCCACACTCAGGAAGCTCTAATCTACATGGCAAGGTTATACAGCAATGGAATACAACACCTTGCAAATTCCCTGCAACTCGATCTTGAATTAGTAATTGAATTAGGATTAATTTTAACTCCTTGGAGAATCCCTTTCACTATAACCGCCTCGACTGTAGGACGGTTTCTTGAGTGGTTTTCCATAAACAAGTTTAACTTCCTTAACGTTGGTCAGCTGCTGTGTGACTGGTACAAGGTCCGCCTGCAGACACAGTGAGCAAATACTGACAATCCTTACTGGAAAATCTCTGCCTGTCTGCAGGTGTTTACATTCAAAGTGCACAGCAATAAATACTGAGAGCCGCCATGCCGTCGGCTGGCTGTCTGTTTCAGTGTGTCTGTGGGTCCTCATTACCAGGCAAACAGGTATGGTAAAGGGGAGGTGGGGTGTTGCGAGGTTGTAAACAATTGTGGTCTCACAGTAAATTAAGGCAAAACTCTCAGATTAATAATAATTTAGCTTGGATGCTGAGTCAGTGAGGTTGATACTACCAGAGGATATTTGTTGGTTCTGTTATTAAAAGTAGTTATGGTAGCCCATTAGCTGGGGAGAGTGTTTTGTGAAGTATATATCTGGCAACTTGGAGGCTGCTTCTGATTGGTGATGTTCTACTATTTATTTTTTAACATTCTAATGGTTTGTGTTGTGCACATCTACCAAAGCTAAATATTTTTTAGATATGAATCCAAAGCTTACATTGTACTTGGCTGATGCTGAAAAAGGCATGAGGTCTGGACACTAATCTTTTGGAGGTGTTCCTCACCTACACTAAATAGCTGTGTGTTTCAATGGCGGGATATGCTGTTATCCACATTGTGTTCTTTGTAGAGACTGACACGGTGGTAGTCCTGGATGTTAACTTGCATCCTTTGAATTTATGTATGAAAGCAGCAGTTCTTAATACAAAATGTAGTTGGAACTAGCATATTATATTAATTAGGCCCCAGGCAACTGTTCATAATATATCATGCTGCAGTATTTCTCCCACCCCCCCACTGCATGGTGGAATGGTTTCTGTAATGCGATGAGTCTAATGAAAATGTTTGGTAGAATATATTGTTACATTATTTTGTATATTATTATGTTATAGTTGAAGAATGCATCTGAATCCAATTTTGGAGTTTAACGGGCTATTCCACTCCCCATAACCAGTACAGCCAGTTTCCTGGTATGGTTTGCCCTCTTACCCGGTCCTGCCAGACGCTGCGTCTCCTGTATGACCGGCTGCGATATTGCATCCGGTTTCTGCAGATCTGGTTTCCAATCTTGCCGACCATTCATTGGCTGAGAGCATCAGCCAATGTTTGCAATTCTGTGCATAGAAATATATGCACATAATTGACATTAGGCAGCCCATAAATCTATTTCTGGACTGGATGATGATGCCTAAGTGACGTTGCCAGAGGCGGAGTTACATCTCCAGCAGCAAAGGAGTTAAACTCCGTATGAGCAGTGTTTTATACCGAAGTGCTGCACATAGACTCAAGGTACCCTCACCGTTTCAAATCACTTATCTGGTCGTGGTGCTTGGAGTAACTCTTTAAGAATAGGTTGCTAGACTAAAACAAAGCTACATACATAATTTTGGGTCACTAGTAAATGGTTAAGAACCTTGTATTTGCATTAGTCAAAGGACCACTGTCTGTCTTTTGCTGGGCAGACTCCACGTTTGCACGTACATATTACAGTTTACATGTCACCAATGTCCAAACCTTTTCTAGTTTATGCAGAGATTTAATTACATGACTATATATAATATATATACACATACCCAACACCTCTTCCCCATAAAACTTTTAAAAAGGGTTTGAACTTACCTTAAAACCGCTCTGGGCAAAGCTTCCAGAGCTGATCATTCACACCATGCCCTGACATCACAGGGAACCTTGCGCAGTCCAGTTACAGGCTTCTCTATGAGAATCGTATGAAAGTATGGAGTGGAGAGCTTGAGTGAATGAATGGGGAAGATTTTTACATATGTCAGCAGTGTGCAGTTTGCACTCATGACAGATTAAAAATATGCAGAGAGTTGTCCTAGGCAGCTTTGGCAAAACTAGATCTAGCACACAATTAACACTATCTCAGTATGTACAGTGGATCAAGCTGAAACACTACATATACATACCCCGGCCACCATGACCTCTTCAAATCACTGATGTTGGCATGGTGGTTGGAGCAACCCTTTAGTTATCTTCTTACATTTTTTCATTATATCTTTTCAGTTGTGTTCGTGACTATAGTCCACCTTTAGATCTGTCACGTATAAACATTTGTAATTGGGAGGCAGTTTTTTGGGGAGCGTAGAGAAGCATTCGCCCCAATTGGACATGTACTTTTTTTTTTTTTTTGCATGAGCATGAAGAGTACAAACATGCGGGTAATGCCACAACAGCAGATACCGGCAACATATGGCTAACCTGTATACGGCATAAGTTGAAACTGCACAATTTTGTTATAACATTCAAGTTTGTCAAAAGGCTATACTGTTGGCATGTCGGCAGGTAAGCAACATCTAACATAAGATTTACGCTATTACAGCGTGGATACTGACATTCTGGTGAAATGTTGCACATTTACATTTTTAAATGCAGGCTTATATTGTCTGGCATGTCACAGCTTTAAAGGGTTTGGGTGCATGGGTAAGGGGACACGCTTGCATGTATGCTAGAGTGAGTAAACGTAAGACTTTAGCAATAGTTGTACCTCCGTGAACATAGTGTAAATAGGTTTAGATATGTGTAACCTCGGCTACCGAAGCAAGAGACAAAATTGTTCCAACATTGGGTTAGTCAGTGATTGGCAGAGTCGCTAACTGGTGGGACAGAATGCAGGTATAGGTGATCAAATAGGTGTCGCAGTGCTAGCTGGGTTAACTTTAGTTGGTTTGCATTGTGTGTGACAGGTGTGTATGCGTTAGCTTGTCTGGCCTAGGGAGCTTGGTGGTTGGTTAGGTCATTTTATATGTGGCAAATGAAAAGGGTCCAGCAATATGTAAAGGAGCATGTGCATAAACTTGCAAGTCTACATCATCAGCTTGGGTCATCAGAGCTTATGTGTCATCGTTTATGTGTCTGGGTAACGTGTTGCGTTGTCTGCCTGTGTTTTGGTGAGTCATCCTATTCCTCCAGCGGGGATCTGTGTCAGTGGCGCCGGGTAAGCACAGGTATTGGCTAACAGCCAGGAGCAGGCCAGCTCTTCCCTCCAGCTCCGGGCCAATGACAAGGCCGGCATTGTATTCCCACAGACTCGGGAGATGCTAGAGACCGGGTCCTTCCCTGGTGGGACAGGTCTGGGGCCTTTGGTCCAGATGGGCTAATGGGGTGAGTGACGGGCTGTTTTATCTTGATAGTGCCAGAGGGCTGTACAGTCCCCCTCCGGGTGTCGCCCCTCTGTTTGCTTTCGGTGCTCCTGATCTCTCGCTGCTGTGCGGCAGCGTACCGCGCCTCAATCTGTGCCCAGAAGTTGTTGATCAGGTTGTTCAGGCGAGTGTTCAGAGGCTCGGTGGCGTCATATCGGTGCTCCGGAGGCACACTTTCTTTGCTGGGTTGTGTTTCCGCCATGTCATATTGGCACACGGCCTGCAGGCTTTGTGCGTTGCTGGGATCTGTGTCAGTTCTTGGAGACCACGGAGGTATGAACGTCAGAGCTATTTGGACCTGGATAACCCCCGCCGTTCCTGTGGAGGGTGGGGGGGGAGCCAGGAGTCGTGGAGGCTGTTTGTTTTGATGGGCTGGGAGAGCGGCCATCTCTCACCTGCCCTGCGTGTTGTAGGCCCCAAGCCTCAGGTCAGACTTTCCAGCGGGCATATCAGGCATGCAAGGTATCCCCCTGCTTTAGTATAACAAGATGAGGTAGGTTGGGGTTCAATCCAAGGCGATGCTCCCCTATTTTCCGTTGATTATTAGGCCCAGGCTCAGGAGCTCACAGATAGTGTCTGGCTAGCTCCACAGTCCTGGACATGTACTTTTTAAAAATGTATTCTGATTTCTGCCTTTCACTTTAATTTTACATTATTTTAATCTTGCATTCTGGTTGACACAGGAGAATGACATTCAGAATTTCCCTTTTATTTATCTGTAAACAGTGTTTCATGCTTCTCTTGTTTAAATGATTTGCTGTCAAAACTGTTCAAACATTGTGTCTACACAATTAAATCAATAGTGCCATATAATTTATTTTATTTGTTTTGTTTATATTTCAGTTTACATTTTCTATTTCAATATGTTGGAATATATAATCATTTTTAGAGCTAAATTTAATTGTTTCCTTGAAAGGCCATCTTTATGTTAAAGGAACGCTCCAAGCACCATAACCACTAAAGCGCACTGTAGCAGTTATGGTGCCAGCAGTGCCCTGGTGTCCCTCCATTGTAAGTAGCCAAACCATTTATTAATAGTTTGATGTCTTATCTGGGGTCCACTGAGGGTTGCTTCCCACCTTCTCTCAGTGGTCAGCAGTGTTTGAAGTTCCTGAATGAGGTTTTTCTGTTAGCTCACTTGAGCTAAGCCATGCCACGCAAGGCCGGCTCCATGGCAGAGAGCATCAGATGGTAGCTCTAATCCAGTGAGCTAAGCCCTGGACAGCTGGGCTTGGCTTAGACAGGAGTAGGCAACCATCGGCACTCTTGATGCTGTGAACTACATTTCCCATAATGCACTTACAGCCGTAATGCAGGCAAAGCATCAAGGGAGATGTAGTCCGTAACATCTGGAGTACCAATTGTTGCGCCCCTCACCGGCTTAGGCAGAGAGTTTCTGACTGAGAGGAGGCTGCAGTGGGGGTAGGGAGCGGCACTCAACAGATCCCAGGTTAGAAGTCAAACCAGTACGGTAGTGGTTTTGGTGCTTGGGTTGTTCATTTAAATTACTATAAGCGTTACCTAGTGTTTCCGGAGAAAATATATTTAGAAATTTGAATTAATTTTATTTTTTAAGCCAGAAAAAGCAGAAATCCGAGATGAGAGTGAAAATCCTCAGTCCGAGTGCAGCTACGTTAAAACATTCCCTTATATTGTTCAAATATACTGGGACTACATAATAAAAATGGGTGCAAATTGACGTTTTATTCACTATCAAATATTGGTTCCTTATCATGGAGCGTGTACATTGTAAGTGAAAAGTACTGACATTTTAAATGTTTTCAAACAAAAATGCCTTGGACAATTTCTTATAGGAAAGTACTGGGTGTACATACAGTGCACATTGAGATTCCACAGGTCCCTAGGCAGTTTACATCATTCACATAGGGATAGTTAGTGGAGCCAAGCAGATTAAACAAATTCATAGTTCCGGGGCCCCTGTCTAACACCTAGGCCCCCTCTTGGGGTTGCCTTATGAATAAGCCTACTCTGGCTGCATGGTGAAGTATTGATCAGCAACTCCAAGATGCTGAAGGATGGTGCCAGTTATTTGGTGGGGTATTTTTGGTAAATTCCTGAGGTGGTTATTATTTTTTTTTTTATATAACTTTTTTGCCTTCTTTTGTCCCCCCAAAATGCTCTAATTTTTAAATGTACTCCAACCAGCTCACTCATATGGGATTTCCCCAAATGTAAAACTCTACTTGGAACAATTTTCAGAACAGATGTAGGGAAAAAATCCTTTATAAACATTCACTAAAATTCTACTGAAACGTAAATGTACGTCCATTGAAGTAAACAAATTGCAAATATTTTATTGGAAAAATGAATGGCTGGTGGATACTTTATTACGGGAAATCTTACAGGTTTAGCCGTGGGACTAAAAGTCTGTATTGACAGATGAATGTTAAGTCATAAAATTTAAATTAAGGGACATTGAGAGTCAAGGATTATTGGCAAGTATTCATCAAGGAATTGTGTCACATCTTTCTATGGAATAGTCATTTTCTGAAAACCTTCTTTTTTGTGCTATGTAAATGTATTTAAATATTATTTTCCCTGGTGCACCTTAAAAACACTCTTCACCTTTTGAAAAGGTTCCTACTGAAGACTCGTGGACAAAAGCCCCATCACAAGATGAGGAAAAAGCAGACCATCAAAAATCACTCTCTCGAAAAAAGTCATCCGGGAAAAGCAGGTCGCGACCAAGGCCGCTTTCAGACTATGGTCAATTGGCCATCCGTAGCTTTTCTATCCCAGAAGACTCTGTCCCAATGGAAACTCCACAGACCGATAGTGGGAAGTGTAAATTTCCCCTACGCTGTTTTAGTGAGGAGGAAAAGTTCCGCAAACATAGCACTGAGTACCAAGGAAATTATAGAAGACGACCCATTTCTGTTATAGGTGGTGTCAGTTTTTATGGCACGTCAGAAGATGGAGAAGCTGGTGATATGCTTCAACAAGTAAGAACTTGGAAAGCATGAAATCTTCTACAAAATTAAATATCTTCCAACTATCCTATAAATCTCACTTTTAATTGCATCTCTTAACCATGATCTACCTATATTGCAATCTTCAAAATTTTATTCCTCTGATAAAATAATAATAAACCATGCATGTTATCAAACTAACTCATAATTTCTTGCTTTTTCAACTAATTATGTTCTCTTTTTGGCACAACGATCTATAAAGCATTAATTTTGTATCTTTATTTTATGTCTTTTCAATATGTAGTTGTTTAAGCATTAAAGCGACACTGTCATGGCCGCATCCAGGTTTTTGTTTTTTTGAACCCCCCTCTCTACTCCACTACATCTTATTGTCCCCCTAGTGACCCCCAAATGCCCCTAAGCCCCCCATATTACCTATTTTTTAAAATCTTTTATTTCATGCCCGGACGTAGATCCTGGGCGGCGCAATTTTTGTGTGGGTAGATGAAGTCCCTGTGGGACACGTTATCTGCCCACACTAGACAGTACTGTGAAATTCCCGTGCATGCCCAGTTAAACACTTGGGCATTCGCTATTGTCCGAAATACAGTCGGGAATTTCGTCCATTCATCAGAAAGGCGAAGGAATTAATAGAAATTCCAGACAAACAAACACTGAATACATTGTCATTTAGGCCCCCCATCCGTTTCCCATTGGTGGGGCCCAGGGGGAGGACAATAGGTCCCCCCATTGTCTTTTAGGGCCCCCACCCACCTGAGAGTGGGTAAGAAGAGGAAGCAATTAGGGAAAGGTAAGTTCGGCATGACAGTGCCGCTTGAAAGAGATTTGGCTTGACGGTCCCATTAAAGGAGCCTTCTAGTGTACTATTGTACTCATTTTTATTCAGATGGATATATTTCTGTTACCATGCAAAATTCCAGTATTATTTTAGTAATTTTTTGCATGTTGCTAAATATCGAATGTATGCTTGGATACTCCTACAAAAAAACTATTTTCCCTTATAACCCTGTTACATGATAGCCAGTAGGACATGTTTCTGTAATCTGTTTAATTAATAGATGATCGGATTTTTACTTTTAGAAATATCATAAATCCCATTTATTTTTTTAGTCATTTTAGTCTTGTAACAGGCACCATAACTAAGATATAGAGAAATGCAGAAAGTGCACGTTTTTAGGAGTGTATATAACACATAAAATCAACCACTTTACTGTGACCTCAAAGGGTGGCAATTTCCTTCCTGATCATGGAAGATGATAAAGTGTGGTGATTACAAAGTATAGTTACAAGACTATGTTCTCTGCTTTGCAAAGTATTCTTTAACCCATTAGGAGCCAGTGAGTGTTACTTAATATTCTCCCCATATTGATTATTAAAAGGAATACAAACTGCCTGTCAGGGATGAGCCCCCCTAGCTCATAAAACTGGTCGATTTTAAAAACATTTCAACAACCTAATCTCTATTGAAGGCCAGATTATATTTTTAATGTAAATGAACAGAATTTGTAGAGAACAAGGTAAATATTCAGTATTTCTTCAGAAGTAGTAAATCATTTAGAATAATTGCAGGTAAGTAATGTTTCTATTTTTCAGAAAATGATATTTTATCATTTTATTTTTTTTTTTCGCGATAAATGATACGACCGTGTCTTAAGGTATTTGTTTCTGTTTTTCTTTAAATGTATTTATGATAAATCAATTTTTGGGTTCACATAAAATATTTGTTTAGTCCAATATTGCAAGTCATTAACCTAAAAAATAAAATAAAATAAAAATAACTGTTAGGGTTTGTAGTTTTGTTTTTTCACTGAACTGACAGAGTTCCGTGCTGCCTCAGTCATATGTGCCAGGGTTGTAACTATCCCACGGCACAAAAGAGCAAATATTTCTGTTTTGAGCAAGAAACACTGTTTCCTAGTTTCCTACGAAATGGCCACTTCTAAAAACAGAAGTGGTCATAGTGGCTAGAGTAACACTTGAAACATTATAGAACAGAATTAGAACGAATTGGTGTCCTTTAGGCTAGGCTGAACTGGGACAGGAAATCAGTCCAGGCACATTTTGTTCCTCTTCAGCCAACCTTCCCCCGACCCCTACAGGTCCGTATCATTATTTCCCAGCTCTGGTTTACTTCTCTACACTCACTCTACTACTTCCAATGTGTGGGAGCTATAGAAGTTCCCATGTTAATTGACTTCCAGTGCAAATTGACTTATTAAAGGCCTGAGCACAAAGCAACACAAGCGGCTATAAATCGCAAATACAGCTTGAGGTAGGGGAGGAAACTGTGTGTTTCAGGTATATAAAATGGGACTCCCAGGTTATATACGCCTATCTGATTTACAATGTGAGTGGAGGAGATCCATGATCTCTCTAATTGCCCCTTGCAGCATTTGTTGTTCACATTTATTTAGCAAGAATCAGCCTACTCTGCAGCACTTTACAATTTGAACAAGAATTCCAATACAAACTATTACAAATGCAATCCAGAAACAAGAAGTAATTAATTCCTCTGCTCAAATGAGCCTTTAATTTAGAGGATATTTGGTACATATTTTTGTACGTACTTCTAGGGGGATTGTGTATTCATGTTAGAGGGGAATAAACTCTATAGTTTAATTTTGCTCTGCAGTGAAGTGTGCTTAAAATCCAAAAGTAAATGAAAGTTCTTACAGTGAACTGGGAAAAAAATTAAATCTATATAAAATGTGTTAGTAGTGTCTCTCTATCTGCAAACATTTTCAAGAGAAAGTGTTGTGTACCTTACCTATATGTACTGCGATACATCTTGTGTTTTTTGTTTACAAGTTTTTCTGTATTTTACCCATAGCCTGTACCACGACCTCCAGTACCGGCTCACAAAGTACCACCATATAGAGCAGTGTCTGCCCGCTTACGGCCTTACACCTTCTCTCAGAGCACGCCAATTGGCCTGGACCGAGTCGGCTGCCAGAGGCAGGCTAGGATCTCTAACAGTAAGTTCTAAATTCTGCTTTTTTTCCTGGCATAAATCCAAAGATAAATGCAAACAAGATTTGAATTTTGTGAAGTGCTTAGAGCATGTTCCATTACGGTATAGTTTGTTAGAGCAAATAAATATTAAATGATTTTTATACAGAACATAAAAGATCGTAAAGTCTACCCTGTAAACACATTGCTTCCGATAAAGGTGCTGTATATTCATATATTTCATATATGTTGCACTTTTTTGTGTTTGTGCATAATATGCACTTTTTTGTGTTTCAAACATTTTAATTTGAGAGTTTTAGGGGGTAGTTTACACATACTAGTATCATAAAGATACAAAGTTATACAAACAAAATACTGTTTTTCAGATTCAGAAGATGCATAGAATGTAATGTAGCAATAAGGTTTACATGTATAAAACATTTGAATCCCTACTTGATATGTAGTACTAAAGAATAATCCCCATTTCTCTAATCTACTTCCTTGTCTTTGACTTTGCTGAGCAATAATCTGACCTGTTCAAAGTTTGCTTTGTGGTTTGACAGGTGATAAAACAAAGTGTGATTTCCAAAGTGGTACATGGAGTGTATGGAGTACACATGCTGATTGCATTGTTTCTGTGGAAAATACCACATTTATAGAACGTTGTACCACACTTTAGATCACTACATTCTCATAAATATCCCATTTGCTGCCTCTAATAATTTTAATTTCACATATTCTTCTGTTTTCGATCGTTAATGGTTATGTTCTTTATCTTTGTTCCAGTCTGCTCTTGCATCAGTCACCGGATGTATTAAAACAAGTTTAATTTGATAAGTTTAAAAGGGGGACACTCTGGGCACGGGACAACTTAAAGGGACACTATAGTCACCAGAACAACTACAGCTTAATGTAGTTGTCCTGGTGAGTATAATAGCTCCCTTCAGGCATTTTCATGCAAACACTACCTTTTTGTAGAAAAGGCAGTGTTTGCATTGGCCATAGTGATACCTCCAAGTGGCCACTCTTTAGGTGGCCACTAGAGGGGCCTCCATGCTCAGGGCTGCACAGTACACAGTAAGCAGCCCTGCCGTTCAGCGTCCCCACGCTCTGCATGGGGAAGCTGAAATTTTCTCATAGAGATGCATTGATTTAATGCATCTCTATGAGTAGGTCCTGATTGACCAAAACAGCATTTGGCCCCGCCCCATTGCTGATTTTAGCCAATCCAATGCTTTCCCTAAAAATCGTCAATTTTGATGATGTCACAAAGGGTGTGGAGCCCGCGCGGTGCTGGAAATAAGGTGAGGTTTAAACTTTTATAGGGCGGCTAAGGGGGGCAAGCCACCTAAATGGTGGGTTTAGCACTATAGGATCACGAATACATGTTTGTGTTCCTGACCCTATAGTGATCCTTTAACTTTAATGCATTTGATAGATTTTGGCCTCATTAACGTGCTATTTTTTATGATTTTTGCTACAAAAAAATAACTGTTTTGCAGTATGCTGCACCATAATTATGTCTCTTTATCCACAACCCATGTTGCCCGAAACACTTGCTTATAAAAAAGTATGCACACAATCTCAGACCCAACAGCACTGAATGAGCGTTTTTGTTATTCACATTCTGGATGCAGACAGTTAGAGAAACTACCAACAGTTAGTGATATCTTTACTATAAGTCTCTCTGGGTATCCTCGCCTTTTAATGCATTTTGCAGATCATTCAGTGCTGTCAGTACTACAGTACTACATTTGATAGAGAAGTATTTTTTTCTAGAGTGAGGGGGTGCGGCTAAAGAGGCAGGTCTTTTTTTTATTTTCATTTTTTTTTTTTTTAAGATTCAGAATTGTTTTTAATGCAAAAACTATAAAGATATTAAACATGCAAAAAAAAAAGCAGCATATTAAAGAGCCAATCAAATGCTTTCCCATAGGACTCATTTTTCGCAGAAGTATTCTATCACCTTTCTGTTTAATTTTTTTTTTTTTGGTCTGTAATTAAAGTGTGAAACCCCCAGAATTCAAAATTAATTTGTAATGGAGCTCATATAGTAAGCCAAAATAGCTGACCTGAAATCACAGTTAAGTTAGAATAGTTTTCTCATGTGGCTTTTTGGGACTCTCGTTTTAATTTAACTTTGAATTTCTAGCAATACAAACTTTAGTGAATAAAGCTGCAATTAACCTTCCAAACTTTTGTAGTATGGAGTGTGGCAGTAATTTTTATTAAATTTTTTGCCTTATTTTGGTAGTGTTTCTGGGTACATGCAATTGGAATTTCAGAGAAAGTGTTGCACGATTAGCCTGTGGGCTCTGTTTTGAAAGGATCACAAGTTATTTCTCACTGTCTGTTAGTAAAATGTTTCCAAAATATATTTTATTCTGGTTTATTTATCTGACTATGTCCAATAACTGAAATATATAGCAGGGTCTTGGTTGTTTTATTTGCAATGCTTGTGTTTGGCAGATCTGCCAAGGCTAACCGGTTAATGAATGCACACAAACCCCATGCTGCTGGACACGAGACCTGTAACTGTGTATCTTGAGCCAATCTAACATCCTGCTGTACAGAACCGGTATTTCTTTCTGTTGCAAAATCATTGAGGATAAACCATTTAAATCCTTTCCAAAATGCAAAAGTTCTTTTAGAATTACTTAGGGTTATTTTCCTTTACTAACAAAATAAATATCAACTTTTTTGGATTTTCATGTGTGTCCTCATACTTCCATGCTGATTGGCTGATGAACTTTCTTTCTTTAAGTTTTTGGCTATTGGCTCCACCCTATCTGTTTATCCTACATCATTCAGCCTGCCCTGCTGCCCACCTAACAGACCCACAGTGGCAATTACATGCTGTGCTGCCATGTGTCTCTATGTAAATTGTTAGGGATAGTGAGTCTATCAGGTTGAGTTATTGCACAGTGTGTTTAATCCAGAAGGTATTCTCTTCTGCTTTTTTAAAATAGTCTGCTAGATCCTGCAACAGCCTCTCGTGTGTGATTCTTGTTGATTTTAACAGAGCAGGAGATAAGGAAATCTAAAGTAAACACACTGTGTTGTAAGATCAACTTGACAGTGAAACTATTTTTTTCCACGCAGGTTGGAAACCAAAGTAATTTAACGCTTTAAGAGGACTGAGCAGTAAGACTGCAGGGGCACGATGTGTACACAGAAAATGCTTCATTAAGCTAAAGTTGTTTTGGTGCTTAGCATATTTCTTTAAAGCTAAGTACTAGAAGTTGATAAGGAGTTAAAGATAATGAGTTACCAAAAAAAATGTAGTGGTATGAATAAAGAAGCAGGAGTAGCTAAAATATAATCTAAATAAGTACAATGTACACACTCGGTGCTCTGCTGTGCCCTAAACTTTGCATGCAGGTTTGTTCTGAATTTGCCATTATTAGTTATTTGCACACAGGTGTTTTTGCTTTTCTGCATTATCTAACCATGACCGATTTAGATGTGTCAGTCCGTGTTCTGTATGGAGTGGTTTAGTGTTGATGGCACAGGCTGCTATGCAGTAAGACTGCAATCATATTGATAGTTTTTTTTTTTTTAGCACTTTCTCCCTAAGGGTACCCCACGGTGTCGTCACTCAGAGCATCCAAATTCGCAGCAGCAGCACATAATGTTGAGTTGTCAGTTGCCTCCTAGTGTGTGGCCTGATAAACATGCGCTGAGGATCGGAGCCATGAATAAGCTTTTCTGCAGCTCACACTGTTGATTTAGCATCTTTTTTTAGCAATGTCCCTGGTGTTCGAAAGCCGAGCCCCTTGCCTAACGGGCATTTTTTGGAGAACAGCATGATAGTTTTGGGAGGGGGGCATGGCACGTTTTTGGAGTCTGGAGAGCCTTCACATGGGTATGTGTGAATTTTTATTTTAATATTTCTAGGGTTGTTTTAGTGTGTGTGTGTGTGTGTGTGTATAGAGAGATTTTTTTTCAGAGTTGCATAGTTCTGCTCATCTTGTAAAGAGATAAGACAGCAGCTGAAATATATTGAGAAAAATTATGTTTTAAATCTTTTCTTTGCTGTGAGATGTGAGTGTTTATTTGCTGTAGGCACTGCATTAATTACAATGTTTTTATTTATTTGTATTGTGTTTCTGCTTGGAGCTTTAAAGTGTTTACATTAATGAATTGCAATTTTTATTCTAAAATGGCCAACTCTTGATTCTTGAATTGAAAGATGTACTCCAGCAAGGCACCTCATCCTTACCTCATTTAACTATTTCAGGAGATTAAATGCAGACACTGTTCCTACAGGGCAGTAATGGCTTCATGTAGCACCCCAGATGTTTGTGAACTATGATTCGATAAATGTCTTGTTAGACATTAGGGTTTCTGAACATCACAGGCAATTTAGATCACAAATTGTAAAAGTGCCAAAGGTAGTAATCATTGTGCTAGTGTGTGCACATTTATTATGTATGTTTATTTGCAAAATATTGGGTTTAAGAAGTTTCCAAATGACTTGCAAGTTTTAGGCCAGAATTGTACATTTGGGCACAATGGGTAATTGAATAAGACTGGTGGGTGTGTTACCCCATTGTTCTCAGCCAATCAGTGATGTCCAATTTGGATAAAATTGACAATGAATTTTCAGAAGTGCTTGATTATCATGTGATGATAATGTGATGGAGATGGGGCTGTTTCTCAGCAATATAAAACCAAGGGAATTGCGCTATGCCAGTCTAGGCAATTTCACCACTAAAGCAGTCTGTAGGAGTAACATTACAGCTAAGGTCACAAAATGGATCTGTGCCTAGCTTGGCAAAGGGACACTATTGTCACCAGAACAGCTACAGCTTAATGTAGTGGTTCTGGTGTCTATAGCCCTGTCCCTGCAGTTTTTTTCAGAGAAAAGGCAGTGTTTACATTGCTGCCTAGTAATGCCTTTAGTGGCAGTCACTCAGACAGCCACTAGAGATGCTACCTGTGCAAGTGCTGCACAGTGTGACTGGCGTGACATAGGAAAAAAAAGATGAGTAAAATCACCTTTTTAATGTTCTAATCAGGGCTGGGAACCTAACCTGCCAACCTGCCACACGAGCACTAAACTGTCAGCAATACATGTTTGTATTCCTGGCAATATATTGTTTTCATAATATAGAACTATGCACGTTAATTGGCTACTAATTATTACCTGATATTCCAAAGGAGAATGTAAAATGGACTGTGGTCATCTCTAAAAGTAGATGCTCAAATGTTGCCTTAAGGCTGGCAAAGCACCATAGGAGTTGAAGTTCTTTGAGAGCTGGGCGTCTACTTTTTAGCCACCCCAGGAATAGGCCAAAGGGTTGTCCGAAAACAAACAATACAGTTTTACATTTCATGACTGTTAACCAATTCCGGACACCTCTCTTGCAGGGATCAGCAGGCTGCAAAATGAATTTCTCTCATTCTGTGTGAGTTAACATTGTGTCTGATTAAGTGAGTCAGACGGAGAATTGCTCTGTATTTAACTCCTTCCCTGCCCAGTAACAACATTTTCTATGTCAAAAGGTTCTCCTGTGATGGAATGATTTAGCCATCAAACATCCCCATTCTTTCTCTTACGGTTGGTTTTGTTTTTTGGGATTTTTTTGTCTTTGTTCTTTAATATGAAATGCTGTGCCAGTGTGTAATGCTGCAGTATACTGCAGTCTGATAATAGAGATGAATCTGATCCCAGCAGCATGGCTCGGGAGAAATGGCTGGAGTCATCCGAGAAAGCCACCTTCATAATAAATTTTATTTCAAGAGGGATAAACCATACTAGCAAGTGCAATATATATATATTCATAATCATAAATTCAGGGAATATGAGATTATTACCCTAGGTTCCACACCTACACCCAATAATGGATTTATACATTTTATAGAATAAGTCCTTGATATTTTCCTGCATTTTTACAGTTATCTGAGAAAACACACTTGATCTCCCAGGCAACATGATGGAAAAATTGTTTAAAAGAGTTATTTCATTTTTTTTTTTTTTTTTGCTTGCATTGCTCTGCAAAAATTAACTCATTGGTTGTCAGATATTTTAGAAAACATCCAGTTTCGGGATGAAGTCTGTTTTTTTGTTATCTCTGGAAAATATTACAGGGAGCTTTTTTGTCTGAATATTTCTCTCCAACCCTCTTGGATATCATATAATGGAGAAATGAACTATAAGACCTTCAGTCTAATAAAGCATGGAATATCTATCTGCTTAGTCCTCTGTTCTACATATTTAGTTTTTTTTCTATACTTTTCTAATACAATAGAGGCACTTTCATCATTGTGTGCTTTAAGCTCCAACACTGGCAAACCATCGGTGGGTGACTTCTCATCCGAGTCAAGAAATTCTTAAATCTAGCTGTGTCTGTGGCCTTTCTCTTCAAAATGCCAAATCTGGATGTAATCATCCTAACTGTATATTAGTTTAAACTTTGCTCCAAATGTTTCAGATGAAGTTTTGAACCTCCATGTTTTACTTTAAATGTGTAAGTAGGGTACTCTCTGGTATTAAGATTCTAAAAGCCAGAACTGTGAAGGATAGAACTTCCTTTATTGGAGCAGTTGAACCTATTTGGAATCCAGCAGTTAACAGCAAACAGCATAGTGGCCTGTAGAGTAGCTGTGAGGATATGTCTCAAACTACTCGGACATTGCTTTGGCTGTGTGTATCAGACTGTATTTAAAACTATGAATGGACACGTTTCCAGGGCCAGCTCAAAAGATGCGCTCAGCAGATTGTGACATTGTAAGCTATCAGCAGGAGGAGCATACAAAGACTATAAAAATCTGAAAAAATGAACATTCAAAATGTATAATTTGGTATACAGATAAAGTCATTGTGCTAGGGCAAAACAACAAAATGTCAAGTTATACCTACACACCGGTAACATATGCCTTCAAATTTATGCATTTCATGCTATGCATTTAACCAGCAATTCAAGGTTGTGTGTAGTTCGGAACGTAAAATCAAAGGAGTATCCTACTAGTATAACTTTTAATTTATTTCTTTGTGGATTGCCCTAGTGCAATGACTGGGTCTATATGCCAAATTATAGATGTTTAATGTTGATTTTTGAACAAAGTGTTGATTGTTAGTCCTGGAAGAGTCCTTGTATGCTTCTATTTTTGCCTTAAAAATTGAAGTATAAAGGTCTAGCTGCAGCTATCACCATGGACATCAGACTTCCTTCAAACTGCATTGATGTCTGGTCTTAACCCTCGGTCAGGCGCAACTGATCCAACCGACACAGCCAATATTTGTTGTTTTGTCCTACCAAGTGTAAACGTGCATTATGTATGGAACATGCTACTTTTTATTGTAATAAATGCTCAGAAATTGCTTTCACCAATGTTGTAGAGCAAATGGGATAATAAAAATGTTTTTATTTGAGTAAAGAGTTTGTTTTGTAAAAATGGCCTATTAGGCACAATGTGCCCGATCCTGTTCTTACTCACATTGCGCCTGACCGAGGGTTAAAGGAACACTATAGCATTAGGAGTGAAGACATGTATTTCTAATACCTTAGTGTTCAATAAACTATTTAGAGGTTAACGTCAAATGAGGAAATAGGCATTGTCATTGATTTCTTAATTTAAATGCACCTGGATTTCTATTTAGTATGATCATTCCATTCTTTCTCTATCCAGTTTCAACAGATGGTGGTGCTGAGACTTCTGCTTTGGTTGATGACAATGGTAGCGAGGATGATTATAACTATGATGACATCTGTCAAGCAAATCCAAGATATCTGCAGCCAGGAGGGGAACAGCTAGCCATCAATGAGGTATATGTTTACTTTTTACTAAGCTTAATCTTCAACTGAAGTTGTTATGGTGCCCGGAGTGTGCACTAGGTCTCGCATTGCTGTAATGTTTAGTAAGGTTTAGCAGAGATTATCTGTCCATGGTAGCCAGCAGGCTGGACCCCCAATTACAGTATGGCGTAGGCAGAGCAACGCTGAGTCTCATTTCATTCCAGGGATTGGAGCAGTGATTGGCTGAGAGTGTCCAGCTTACATTCTAAGGCTATCACTGCCTGCTACTCCTCGTATGACATGAAGCAGTACATAGCTCCACTTACACCATTTCGTCAGGCTGCCTGGGACCAAGAATCTCTGCTAAGCAGTTGGTAAACCACAAAGCAGGATCAGTTAAATGGTTATGGGGCTCTCCAATGCCCAAATAAAAGAAAAAAATTATAATAATTTTTATACAAATAAGAATAGTAGATATACCCCCAATGAAAACATACATGCATGCATTTAATTATACATTTTTTTTATTTTGGGGTATATCTTCAAAGAACACTTGAAAAACGTGTAGTATTCTTGTCTGAAGTCTTTGCAAGCCCTTCCCTTCTAACTCAGCCCAGAAGAGTTTCAAGGAGTTGTAGTTTAATTGACTGTTATTATATAATTTAAAAGAATCCTATTACTTCCATATTCTTTTAACTTTGACAAATCTCTTCGGTAGAGATGCCCTTCTTACCTTTTCTGATTCCATAATGATCTGAAGTAAACAAGTTACAAATTTTATATTCTAAATTCATTCCGTGGATTTTTTTCCCTTCAAATAAATGGACCGAGGCCACAAAATTATACAAGGCAATTAGAAGACAAACGCATTTTTTAAATTTCTAATGTGTTGGTCTTTGTTAGAATGTGCACAATGATCATATTATATTCATTTACGGCTTTTTTTTTTTTTCTTTGCATACTATGAGATGCTGACTTATTTGTAGTTAAAACCAAACACTTTCCAACACTATAAACTAAAAATATGTGTTACATAAATGTGTATTTATAATTGTATTAATAGAAAAAAATGAAACCTTCTTTATACATTTTTTTTGAATTTTTTTATAACTCTTCATGTGTTTTACCATGATATTCAGACAAAACAAATTACACACTTGCGTTTCTTGTATTACTGTCTGCAATTCTTTTCATATCCTGCAAAATTTTATCCTTGGGTATTCTGTCATCTTTGTATTGAATTAGGTGTCGGACGTGCTTGTATTGCACTTGGTATGGTCCTGGATCTTGTATTCAATAGTGGCAATGCAAATTTGTAGTGTGTGCCACAATGTTGATGACCTCATTAAATATTTTCAACCTATGTTATTTCAGTTAATAAGTGATGGCAGTGTGGTGTATGCCGAAGCATTATGGGACCACGTGACAATGGATGACCAGGAGCTTGGCTTTAAAGCAGGAGATGTCATAAGGGTTCTTGAAGCTTCGAACAAAGACTGGTGGTGGGGGAGAATTGGAGATAATGAGGCCTGGTTTCCTGCTAGTTTTGTCCGGGTAAGGCATGCAACTTCTATTCCCTTGTATGATTTGTATCCGAAAGCTTTAAAATATGTCAGGAATAATTTGGGGTTAATTTGTCTTTCTTCCCATTCGTTCAGTTGCGAGTCAATCAGGAGGATGTCTCTGAAAATTCTGGGAGCTTCCAGGATGAAGAACAAGATGCTGAGGCCCGTACATTCCGACACAAGAATGCAGAAAATAAAGATCAAATGAGAACGAATGTCATTCGGGAAATAATGAACACGGAACGGGTTTACATCAAACATCTGAAAGACATCTGTGAGGTATGGCCAGATTTTTCTCTTCCGTAATCAAGTTTCTTATATATTGTATAGAAGCATTTGTGGATGGACAGCCGGCACATCATTATTCAGAACTTTCTTTCCATGTAGTTTAGTATAACACATTGTGCAGAACCTTTCATTAGACAGTTTCAGTCATCAAAAGTGTCTACATGGTACTGTTTAAAGCATTGCTGCCGTAATAAACATTTTATTATAGGTCTGTGTTTGTGATGTGATGAGCATGATGTGCATTTTACAACCTCTTTAGAACAACTGTAAAGAGCTTGAAGACCGAATATTAGGTCCAGACTTTAGGTTAAAAATCCTTGAGCTAGGACAACCTGCAAAATATTACCCACACCAGAAAGAATATATAGTGTAAACAATCAAATATCTTTATACCCAATGTAAGGTCACCAATAAATGCAGTCAGGTGTTAAATTAAACCAGTGTTTATCTACAACTTTCAATTTTTTTTTATATTTTATAGGGTTATATAAAGCAATGTCGGAAACATACAAGTATGTTCACAGAAGCACAGCTGAAAACCATTTTTGGGAACATTGAAGATATCTACAAGTTTCAGAAGACATTTTTGAAAGATCTTGAAAAACAATACAATAAGGAGGAATCTCACTTGAGCGAGATTGGGGACTGTTTCCTTGAAAATGTAAGTATCCTGCCTTTGGAGAAGTGTAAAGTCACATGTAAACATTCTAGAGGTTGTAACGCAATTAATATTTTATGTAAACATACACTCAATGTATTAAATGGCAACTGTTGCAACCTATAATTTTTTTTTCTTTTATGTTAATCACATTTTTGTGACCTTCACAAGTTGTTCTCTATTGTTTAGATAGCTTGACGTATTTCAAGGTGTTTGTTCAGTGATTCAGCAAACTAAGGGAGCATCGGAAGGATGAGATGAGTTCTTTAAAAATAGAAGAAAGAAAAAAAAATAATATAGTACAGGTTACTTTCTTAGTACTACTGCAAAATCTTCATTCATGTATTTTATGGTTCTATTTTTGTGAATGTTTTGTTTTATTTTATAAATTGTTTATATGGCTCCATGGCTTTAAAAGGCACAATACATTTGGGATTCCAATCAATTTATTTAGCAAATTAGGCAGATCCTTTTATATCATGGAAGTCCAGGCACTTGATGTTTGACTTGACATGCAAATGTATTACATACACGTATTCTTAATATAATGTGTGTAAAATCACATATGGTCTTCTTATCAGGAGATTCTCCCTTTAACAAGTCCCATTATCAAGCATTTTTGAGTAAAACAAAACGTATAGTTCAAACTTAATTTGTGAGGCAGGGATTAAAGCTACATCAGATCCCACAGTACACGTGTCTAATTAGGGTAAGTAGGGGAAAACAATGTGAGGTGAAAATGTGTATTTCATGTGTATGTTTGTGTGTATACATGTATGTGAATATATACACATATGATCATTTTCTAACCTCTCTCATTTCTGTTCATTTATTTTTCTTGTGCAGCAAGTTGGTTTTTCAATCTACTCGGAGTATTGTAACAACCATCCAAATGCCTGTTTAGAGCTGTCAAACTTGATGAAGCATAGCAAATATCGACATTTCTTTGAGGCTTGCAGATTGCTGCAACAGATGATCGACATAGCTATTGATGGATTTCTTCTGACTCCCGTACAGAAGATCTGCAAATACCCTTTACAGTTGGCAGAGTTACTTAAGTATACGACACAAGACCACAGGTGAGCCTTCCTATAAAAGTGGCAACATGTCCTTGAAGCAGATATGATGCAATTCCAATTTACAAGCCTCCCTTTATGTAACTATATGTTTAATAAAGAAAACGTAGAATTAACAATCAATAAATAAAGTCAATGTTTATTTTCACACTGCGTTAAAATGTGCACTCGTCTAAAATGTTGCTGGCCCCATCTGTGGTGTGACATGGCTTACTGTAGTCTCATTTTCAGTTACTGTAATTAGTGGTTTGACTTCTCAAGGTGCTAGAACATTGTAGCATTGTTAGATTCTAACGGAAGTCATCTGCTTACTTCTATTATGTGTGCATCTGGTCTGTGTGTGATAAGAACGTCCTCAGTTGCTCTGGTGTTTTGTGGTGTTGGTTGTTTTGTTTTTCTTTGGCCTTGTATTTTACCAGCTGTTGGTACAAAATGTTTCTATGATGTGTGTTTACTCTAGTTGTAATATGAACACTGTTTATTTTGTATTCAAATATATAATTCCTTCCCAAAAAATAGACCTTTGTCTGCAGACCTGAAGTTTAATTTTGTGGAATCCTTTTGGATGATATACTTAAGTTCTAGAACTTGCAAATAGTTTCAAGTCAAGTAACCTTTGCATCAGTTAAACAGGGAGGAAACTCTAACCAATAAACTGGATTTGCTGTACTTGTCGCCCAGATCCCTCTAGGAAATATTTCTCAGCCATCAGTACAAGCTGTCAGTGTTCACTCGTGAATTGGGACATTCATGTTTCTTGGCTGTCCACATTGTTTTGAGGTCTTCCCTGCTTATCGTTTCCTTGACTTCCAAACATTCTTCATTTTTGTTCCTCTTATCAAACCATGGTTTTGGTATAATGTGTGACCAAGAACTTTCCTTGGTCTGAGTTAACGGGTTGGCCCCTCGGATTTACAATGAGACTACTGTTAATTGGATTTTTTTATTTATTTTTTGGCTCAGCGGGGGGACAGTCTAAAAAGTAGCCATGTGTGACAGCAGAAAAATAGAGTATTCTTTCTGTGAAACGAGAGGTTGGATTTTACTGACCCCAACCTTCAATCTCTCTGTAATGGGAGTTCGGGGAGAACAAAATACACAAATACATTTCATATTCAGATAGTCCTTTTGAACGTCAATTGGAACTGCATGTGATTTGGTCTCGGTAATAGAATTATAATTTTTTTTGTGTGGGATGTGAAGGCATTTTTATCCATCCTGAAACTTGGAGGACAAGAACCTAGAATATATTACATTTGACTTTTATTGTTGTATCGTTGTTCAAGTCCATAGCATTTTAGTAGAACCACGTCCAATTTTAACCATATTTCAGGGGATGTGTTGAATTATAGTGAAAGATCTGTTGTTGGAAGCTTACGGAAACATAGTGGAGGGTTCCCCTAGAATGCAAGTGAAAATGCACAGAATATTGTTCCAGCAGCTGCAGTAGAAATGAATAAAAGGAGGAAATTTGAAGGAAATCGAATGTAAACATGAGTTTTTTTCCTGAGCAAGAAATTTAACAGAGGGAATGTTGGAAGTCTAGATCAGGGGTGCCCAAAAGGTAGATCCCCAGATGTTTTATAATTACAACTTCCATGATGCTTTGTGGGAGGTGTAGTTCTACAACATCTTGGGAACTACCTTTTGGGTACCCCTGGTCTAGATTATTTTGCCCTTTAACAGCCATCAAAACCATAAATAAACAATATCTCTATAAGAGTAAGGCTGCTGTAAGACTTGGGTGGTGTGAAAAACAACCAAAAACCAAATCTGATTAAATCACACTTTACTACTGTAAGGAAGAAAGGATACGAAGGATTAAACATATATAAAGTAAACCTTCAATTGAGAGACAATAATTTTCATCACGTGGATTGGGGTTAATGCTTGGTATGAATTATGATCAGCGTTAAAACACGTTATTATTATAATTGTCATACTGACTTAATCAGATAGTAAATGGTGTTTATTTTGCAGTGATTACAACAGAATAAAAGAAGCATATGAAGTCATGAAGAATGTCGCTTGTTTAATTAATGAGCGGAAAAGGCGCCTGGAGAGTATAGACAAGATCGCTTGCTGGCAGGTCTCTATCGTAGGATGGGAAGTAAGTGGCATTTACAGTTTTATTTATTTGGTTAAGAAAAACTCCTAGAATTCATTTGTTGTTGTTTTTTTTAAAATAATATTTAATGTTGTGACTTAACTTGAAATCCAAGTAATTATAGGCATGGCTATTCTAACACACACAAAATAAAATTAGAGGACGTTTAGGGCAATATGAAAGAATAAAATGAAAGTAAAAGAGACTATTGTTCACAAACTCAAAAAATATATATGATTGGTCACTATACCGATCACTTTGATCTCAAGAAATAGAGGCAAATTAAGAGATGTAAAAAATAATAATATACTTAACACACATAATTGTTCTGGCTATGTGGAAGTAGATGGCGAAACCGGGTAGTGCTTTTGGGACCTTGGTGAAAATAATCCAGGTGTGTGGAGCATCTAGCGGACACCCATCCCCCTCATCCAAAGGGGTTTGTAATTATTACTGAAGTTAATGATCACACAACATGATGAGTCTATTCAATTTCACCGAAGTGGCACAAAGCCAGAACATTGAAACTTACTTCTACATTTGGAATACAGTGCTGCCTAGAGGAAACATATCAACCAAAAAATAATAATTGGCATTTTGGGACTGTAGGTTGCCTTTTGTCCACGTCCTTTTGCGTTTAGTTTATGTAGTAAAATAAAGACTACTCACCTCATTTCCATTGCTGGGACTCCTCTGCTGTAGCTGCCAGCTCTGCCTTTGAAGAGGCTTGCTGACGTCTACGTGATCTCCTCCACTCCATTGTTTCTCTATGAGAAGCAATGGATTGGAGTTATGCATACGCGGCCAAACCCTGCTCTTCTCCAATCAAGTGCTGCTATCAGAAAGATTCCCAGACAGAGTTTTTTACTTTTTTGGAAGCAGTTCCAAATAATTATTTACATAAATAATGTATATATTTTGGTTAAAATTTAGATTTATCGTTACTTTTCTCATTATTACATAAGGATCTAGTTCGGAAAGTTTAGGAACATTTGTTTCTCCTGAAACATTTAGGCGCTCTACCAATGAGGGATAATTCTAAAAAAATATGTATTTTTCTTATATATGATTATTTCTTACTTTCTAGGGGCAAGATGTTTTAGCTCGAAGTTCTGAACTGATCCACTCAGGAGAATTGAGCAAGGTCTTCAAACAAGGAAAAAGTCAACAAAGGACATTCTTTTTATTTGACCATCAGCTGGTGTTCTGCAAGAAGGATTTACTTCGCCGGGACATTTTGTATTACAAAGGTCGTATTGATTTGGACGAAATGGAATTTGCTGATGTGGAAGATGGGAAAGACAGGGACTTCAATCTAAACATTAAAAACGCTTTTAAAGTAGTAAACAAAGAGACAGATGAAGTTCATCTGTTTTGTGCAAAAAAACAAGAAGACAAGCTGCGATGGCTGAAGGCCTTCATTGATGAGCGCAAACGAGTGCAAGAGGACAAAGATATGGGTATGTTTGCTTATTTTTATTAACAATATATGTGGAATAGTTTGTACAAATATGGAAATAAGATGAAATGCCATCACTCTCCACTTTTTAAGGCAAAATTTTTAATAATTGAGGTTATTGGTTAATTCTAGTGAATATTAATACGGTATGTACTGAGTTTTACTTGTCTAAACATATTTTTTTTAAGGAACACTATAGGGTCAGGAATGCAAACATGTTATAGTGTTAAACACACCATCTATCTCTCCTGGCCCTCCTGCCTTCTAAAATATAGTAAAATCTTACCATTATTCCAGTCTACTGCTGCTGGCTCTGCCCCTGATCTGCTTCCTTGTAGTCAGTAGTGGTGATCTCAGCCGTTCACACGGCTTCCCCATAGGAAAGCATTGGATTGGCTGAGCTTGTCAAGGAGGCAGGTCAGAGGCAGAGCCAGCACAAGCCAAACACAGCCCTGGCCAATCGGCATCTCTTCATAGAGATGAATTGAATCAATGCATCTCTATGAGGAAAGTTCAGTGTCTGCATGCAGAAGGTGGAGACGCTGAATGGCAGTGCAGCACTGGCCCAGGAAGAACCTCCAGTAGCCATCTGAGGAGTAGCTACTGGAGGTATCCCTAGGCTGTAATGTAAACACTGCATTTTCTCTGAAAAGACAGTGTTTACTGTGAAAAGCCAGAAGGGAATGATTATACTCACCAGAACAAATACAATAAGCTGTTGTTCTGGTTACTACAGTGTTCCTGTTAATATGGTGAAGGAATAGGCAGCAAGTGGCAGATGGATCGCCAGATGGATAAATTAGAGCACCGGATCAGCTAAAAGCAGTGAGATTTAACGTAGGCATATCTAGTAATATAACAGTTTGGGAATAATAACAAAAAAGGTTTGCTTCAAGGTTCCATGGTTTGTTGCTTTTACAAGTGATCTGCATGCAAGTTAGTTGGTCAGTGACATCTGTTAGCCAATCCTAGCTCTCTCTTACTGTCCAGGGAGAAATCGGACTACCATTCTAGAATTACAAATTAAAATATCTATTAATGCATATTGTGGCAAAAGCAGATGGCAGACACACGCTACACCTATTACACACAACCAGTACACACCACACACATTACATATAGTCAACACACACCATCACACACACACACTGTGGGGGAGGACAGAGGGCAAGACTTTTATCTCCAAATTTTCTCAAATTAAATCCAAATGGTGAGATTAAGGCAATAATAACTAGTTGTGACTATATCGGAATTGGCAAAAAATTTCTGATCCTCTATTTTAGCCTCAGTTTTTTTTTCATTTTATTTCAGATTTAATCTGGAAAAAAATAGAGTTCACTGCATAACCAATGTCAAGCTATAAGCAGGGTCCCCAAACCTTCTAATTTGAAATTATTTTGTGTCTATGCAGTAGATTTCCGTGACGGAAAAGATTATACTTTTTAGCAATATATAAATAATCTTTCCATGTTTGGTATTTGTGGACTATATATGTGTGTGTATATATAAATGGCGTTTTTAAGCATGGAAGATGAACAAAAATTCCCATAAATGTAGATTTCTATTTTTTTTACTACATTCCAAATATCGGTACAGAGATATTAAAATGATATATTTATTTATGAGAATTTATTAAACGTTCTGCCAGCACAATGATTTAACAACAAGATTTGAAATTGTATAAAAAATGTAAGAAAAGCCTTAATTTCTTTTATCAAGTGCACGGTGGTCAATAATCTGCACAATCAGAGAATAACTTACATTTCAGATTTCCAAGTACAGATTTTAAAGCTTGGGAAATCCTATAAAATCTGTTCTCCTGGTGTTGATTTACGATGTGTAGACCTTTATTTATATACTTTGAAAGTGAATAAAATTAGAAAAAAAAATCTGTGGTTTTTGAGTTTTTCGAAAATGTAGTTAGTCTTATAACCTGAATGGTTTTGGACATGCTTGGTTTTAGAAGGAAAATCACAGTCTCACAAGTTTTGTTGAAAATGTTTATTTTATTTAAGGGACGTTCTAACCACCAAACAACTACATCTTAATATGGGGGTTTGGGTGCTCAGATCCTGTCTCTGCACTCTAACAAATGTAAGCATTGCTGTTTGTGAGAAAGTCAGAATGCTTCTAGTGCCTGTCAATCAATCAATCAATCAGTTAGACAACCTGTTAGAGGTGCCTCCTCATTGAAGACTTTCAGTCATGTCAAACACTGTAAATACCACGTGTAGAGAAGCACTAGATTAAAAACATCTCTGAGAAGCATCCAACACTTCTCTATGATATATACAGGAAATAGTGCAGCGCTATCTTAGTGTAATACATAGACAATTCATATATAAATATGTAATAAGACACCTGGCTTAACTTGTTATTGAGGAACTTCAATTCTGTGTGTGTTTAAAAACAATTGCAAGGTATATAAAAAAAAAAAAAAAAAAAGCAAATTGCACACTCACAATTTCCAGAGCTATGTAACCTAGCACTGGAATGTATCGCTTATTGGTCCTTTATGGGCGACCACTCCCCCTTCTGGATATTGTAGTAATGGTGTCTTTCCTTTCCTGGTTTTACTCGGGATAAAAGAAACACAGTAATGGTGCAGATCCCCTTATACTTCCATATGGTGAATAAACCACAATTATTATACTCACAAGTGTGGAGCCTATATGCCGGCTCTGTAAAGGTGCCTAGTGTGGTTAAGGACCACACACCCTTCTTTAAAACTGCTGGATTCCAAGTTGATTTTTAAAAACTGATATTTATTTTAATATTTAAAAATTTTTAAAAACGCAATAAAACAAGCTTATTAAATACCAGATATGAAGGTGAAGTCTATAGTAGTCGTGATACACATTTCGCTGTCCTATGGCTACCTCAGTCTGGTTATGTTCATGTTGTAGCAGCTTTGTTTTATTAAAAAAACTCCAAATTTGGTATACTGATAGAGTTGATGAGCATATACCTCTCGATTAAAGCACACACGAATCTAAGTTTGTTTTATACTTCTCTGTGATAAGCATTCCATTGGCCCAAGATCCTCACTAATGAGGAGTGGCAGTGTTCATTTAACTTCTTTTCTTTCCCTCCCCCTTCATGTTTCATGGATTGCAGAGTCTTGGTATTGCGTGGTATAACTTATGAGTAATATTTTTTTAAAAAAATTTAACTTTGAGTCAGCAGGACGTAAAGAATGAATGGGAAGGGTATTTGTTCCCTCTGTCACTTCCTCAAAAGCAGTGAACACTATTTCTACATTTGGAAACATCGCTCTATACGAAATAATATAAAAAGCTTGCAAATGTGTTCCTGTATAGTAAAACTTCCTGTTCATTGTAAATTAAATGTGTTTGTGGAATTCATGAATAATTTTTTTTAATATATTTTAGGAATGGAGATTTCAGAAGACCAAAAGAAACAAGCAATGCACAATGCTAAGAAATCAAGGCAAGGCAAGATGAAAGGTGAGCAATGCATACAAGGGGACCACTATTTCTTTAAAGGAACACTATAGTCACCTAAATTACTTTAGCTAAATAAAGCGGTTTTAGTGTATAGATCATTCCCCTGCAATTTCACTGCTCAATTCACAGTCATTTAGGAGTTAAATCACTTTGTTTCTGTTTATGCAGCCCTAGCCACACCTCCCCTGGCTATGATTGACAGAGCCTGCATGAAAAAAAAACTGGTTTCACTTTCAAACATATGTAATTTACCTTAAATAATTGTATCTCAATCTCTAAATTGAACTTTAATCACATACAGGAGGCTCTTGCAGGGTCTAGCAAGCTATTAACATAGCAGGGGATAAGAAAATCTTAATTAAACAGAACTTGCAATAAGGAAAGCCTAAATAGGGCTCTCTTTACAGGAAGTGTTTATGGAAGGCTGTGCAAGTCACATGCAGGGAGGTGTGACTAGGGTTCATAAACAAAGGGATTTAACTCCTAAATGGTAGAGGATTGAGCAGTGAGGCTGCAGGGGCATGTTCTATACAACAAAACTGCTTCATTAAGCTAAAGTTGTTCATGTGACTATAGTGTCCCTTTAAACATTTTACTTTTAACAGAAACTGATCTTATTAGTATATTTTCCTTTGGCAAAAGCGAGATGTCGATCGTAATGATCATTTATTAGTTAAGGGCTTCAGAAGAGCACTCTCAATTAATTAATTCATTAAAGGATTATGCAAATTCCATAATGAAACACAGCCTTCACATGGCCTTGCACCATGACCACTTCAAAAGACTGAACTGGTCAGCTGATGCCGGGAGTACCTTTTAACAGATTTTCATTTAGTCAAAAAGTTTTTCCGAGCACCATAAACCATAATTCTTGAATAGGCTAGGAAGTAAGTTCATCTCCTTCCATAACAAAAAATGAATGCAGATATAATATCCCATTGATTGATGATCAAGATTCTTCTATGGTATAAGCATGCTGTCTCTCTTAGCCAGCTTCATATGAGAGAGCATGTATACATGCAGCCACAAATAGTGTGAGTCACAAATACATGGCTGCTAAATTTAATGTCAGGATTAGCTGAGAAAACTAATTTCCTGTTCCCTGATTTGCAACAACCTTTGAAGTTCAAATGTCCATATCTTTTTCCTTTTTTCATATAATTTATTTTCTCCTAATGTTATAAACACGTTATTTTTGCATATTTATTTTTAATACAATACAATATCTCCATCATACATTAAAAGGTCTAGGGTCCTGTTGTGCCTAGAGTAACTTTTTAATGGAATCCTAAAATTCAAGCAGCATATAGTGTTAGTCTGCTGTGCGATAACCTCACGGTCTGATTGCAGTGTTAAAAGGGAGAGGGGGGGGGGGTGAAATCTTTTAATCTGATTTAGCCGTCCTCATAAATCAATATACATGTGTGGATCAGTGAAGCTCTGCCTAATTGTGATGATTATGTGTCACTTCTATTCCTGAAACAAATAAAACAAACCCCCAGGCATTTTGTAACCCTGGCGTTGTGACATTCACTGCTGCTTTTGTATTTACTCATAAAACCAGATTGAATTGTCACTGCGCAAAGATAATACCGACTTCACTGAAGGCCATATTGAATTTGTTCAATTTCAGGTCAGCTGTAGCTCTGTTTGTATCACTAGATGGTATGCTTAATATTGGCTTTTGGATGAATGGCTACTGTATTGTTTACTTAGAGTCTATTTTGTGGAAATAAAAAGCAAAACAGATACGGTTGATCTGGTCAGTTACTGCATAAATTACATTATATACATAATTACATAATTTATAAATTATGTATTACAAGAATGCAGTGAATAGATAGAGGACGTAGACTCCTTGACAATTAAAAACTGTTGTCAGAACTTAGAAAAACTCACAAATTGATGGTAATTTGAAGCACTGGCAATTTTGTGGCATACTGACCCTGGAACATTTGGCATAGTCTAAAGGAACCTCTCAGACACCTACAGGCTGATCTCCCTCCTATTAGTGACGCCTGTTGCATCACTAGTTATTTTGGCACCCAGAGTTGCTTGTCCAAGGACTTTGCTAACCAAGCCTTATCTATAGTCCTAGTTGTTAGACATAGATAAGGGCACCTCAAAAGGTTATTGATAGTCAATAAAGACTCCTGAAGAGATCCCTAATTTAAGCAATCTGTGATACCCCGGTAGTAAAGCACCAGTTGACCTGTCTAATTATTTGGAAAACCGGCTACATCTTTAAATGACCTGCATAGAGAAGGGTCGTCAACCCTTGTACACTAAAATTTGTTCTTTAACTGGCGATGCCATCAAGAGTCCTCAAAAAAGAAAGAATGTAAATCTTAAACGTTACTTAAGTTAAAGGTCTGTTATCGGTATTATTATTATTTTTTTTTTTTTTTTTTATAAAGTCAAATAACCAATGATCTATGCTACAATGTATCATCAAATGTTATATCATGTATGAAAGCTTTTACTGAACAAATACGATGACCTAAACTGGCTTGGTTCATGGAGTAGCAGATCTTGAACTTAGTTACCATTGTCTGTATAATGTAATGTTCATTTTAAGTACCAAATGCAAGTGACCACTAGCTCATTTTTCTTTTTCTTTTTTGATTTACAAAATTTGTGCTTTCATACAGGTGTTTCTTACAATGGATTTCCTTCTGTACCGTCTCATCAAAACCTGCATCCGATCCACCAACGGCACATCACAGTCCCCACCAGCATTCCTCAGCAGCAGGTATTTGCACTGGCTGAACCTAAAAGGAAGAATTCGCCTTTCTGGAACACAATCACAAAACTTACACCATTCAAGAAATAAGGGGAACCTAATTATACCTGATTTCAAAAGACAAGAAAATGAGTGCATCGGATTTGGAAAGTTCCCCTCAAAAAACAAAGCCTGGATTTATTTTATTTATTTTTTGAGGATTTTCTTTTTTTTTTTTTTTGAAGATTTGTGACAAAAAAATTAAATGAAGGGGAAAAAAGAGAAAATGAAGGAAGAAAAGTTGTAAATGCTATTTGAAGACTAGTAAAACTAATCCATTTCACATCTTTATTTGTAACGTTGCCATATGAAAAATACGATTTTATTTATTATTTTTTCAAGAGACAAAATTTGATGTTAAAAATATTTTTTTTTTAAAAGCTTATGTAAACCCCCCCCTTTTTTTTTTTTTTTTTTTACCTCAACCAGTAAAATTTGTACATTGCCCAATAGTTATAGACTTTTTCATAACACATTTTTTTCAGATTGGTTGCCAAAGCTGACAATATTAAACAATCTTTTGTTAGAGGCCAATGTTCAGTATTCGTTGAGTGACTTCAAATGATGTAAGCTGCCTTATTTAGTGATACCACTATAGGTATCACTGGAGATGTTGAGTTAAAGAACAAGTTAAACTGATACACAACTGCAGTTTATAATTAACTAGTGTTAGTATTAAATGGACACTCTAGGCCAGGCATAGGCAACCTTCGGCACTGTAGATGTTTTGGACTACACCTCCCATGATGCTTTACCAGCATAATGTGTGTTAGAGCATTATGGGGAATGTAGTCCACAACATCTGGAGTGCCGAAGGTTGCCTATCCCTGCTCTAGGCACTACAACCACTTCTGGTAATAGCTCCTGGCACCGCACCTCTTTTAATTTCTGAACGGTTTAACTGTTGAGTGAGGATTTCTGCAGCTAGCCCCCTCTGTGTTTCTCAGGTTAAAGCGCATGCATTAGCCTGAGCATAAATGGGCAGCAGTCATTGGCTGAGAGTGCTGACTGGTTCCAGCCTATCACACACAGTCTTTGTTGGTATGAATTGAAAAGACTAAGGAAGAGAGTAATCTCAGCAAGTGACCTGTACCTCCAATGTGGGCCAGGTTATGGTCTGCCAGGGACACTCGTTCAGCATTAAACCGTTCAAAAAACAAAATGGCTAAACATTGAAAGGAGGGTAGGTACCAATGTGGTTATAGTGATTAGTGTCTCTTTAAACCATAAACTTAATGTCCTGTCTTTTTTTTTTTTCCTGAATGTATACACTACCTTCTGCATCATTTAATTCAGTGTGCTATATATTTACAAAGGTGTGTTTCATGGGGGGAAAAAAAACAGCCAGAAAAAGACAGTAGTATCGGCCAGACATTTTCCAGAATGGCTGGATCATATGAATCTAGTCTGGTTTGCCTATTTGATCAGGTAACAGGACATGCTTTCTTAAATTTGCCTTTGTTCAGTCACAGAGCTTATATTGACTTTAACCAAGAGAATTTGTTCGTTTTACAATTGCAAATGTTTTGATAAATCATATTGATATGTAAGATATCCATGTTATTTATCACTGTTAAGTTACTCAAAAAATGGAACTGGGTTCTATATATTTTGTAAATATTGATGCCACCTTTACAATATCACTGTCTAATTCCAAATATTCTGTTTATTGCAAGAATATCAGCTGTTATCAGACATGTTATTTATTTTGTACAGTTAACAATGGTCCTTTAATGTTGTATTTTTCATAATGAAAAAAATGTGTTTTTAAAATGTATGGCAAGGCGGCATGACGAGTGCAAACAACTTTGCTTAATTAGTTTTTGAAATGTGTACGTGTGTTAACGCTGGAATGTATTTTTTCAATTCAGTGTTAATATGAAACTATGATTCTTTTTAAACCTTTTGTAATGAATTGTAGATGCGTCTTTCGTCACTATAATGATTTTACTGTTACGCTGGTCATATAGTTAAATTTTACTTGAAATGGAAAAAAAGAATCCTCCTTAAAGTGCTTATTAATTTGGAACATAAAATATGTGACCCTTATCATGTGTGGAGTATCAAATCTATTATTATTTTAATTAATTTTAATTTCTTTTAAGGTGTAAAATGATTTTTGTGTTTCACACATTTTATTTTCTCTCCATTCTTTTTGTTGCAAACTCAGACATCTGTTTAGAGTAGAACTATTTATTAAAAAAACAAAAATCCTGATTCTAAATTTGTAGAAGACATTTTTGTTTAGAGTAGAACTGTGCATTACAAACTTCAGAAATGTTTATTTTTGTGAAGCAAAATATTACCATCAATTTGCATAGTTTTGTTTATTTGACGTATGCCAGATTATTCACTAAACAGCGCTTTGCCAAGAATTCACTAACGAAATCACAATTCTTAGGTCAAAATAGCTCAGCTGAAAATATAGTAGATTTTTTTTTCTAATTTGACAATTTATGGTTTAGTTAATAATATGAATAGAGTCCAGTTAATTTTTAGCAAGAGGATGAGCCGAAACAAACCTCAAAGTTGTGCATGTTATTATTATTTTATCAATTATATAGCGCCAGCAAATTCCATAGCACTGTACGGAAGCGCTGTTATCTCTTAATATTCATGTAATGTAACTAATGTACAGGAGATCAGGAAAGGTAGTCATTAGATAGACATGGTTATTTCTCATAGTATCAGTTATTGTGAATTTAAAATATTACAGGTGGTCCTCACTTTGCAACCTACCTGTTTTACGATGGCTCGCACTTATGACTAGCTCCCTAGCGTGAGGATTCAAGGGATTTCCCTAAACATAGATTAGAGGGATTCCCTGCTCTGGTGTGTATGTCTACATTCAGGTAAATTTTCACCAAACATAGAAAAACGCACCAGAGCAGGGAATCCATCTAATCTATGTTCAGGGAACGTTCCTGGAACATAGATTTGATGGATTCCCTGCTCTGCTACGCTTGTCTATGTTCAGGGGAAATTTCCCTGAACATAGACCTGCACTGGTGCACATGCGCCTCACTTAACGACCAATTTGTTATAAGACTGGGTCGTAAGAACAGAACTTGGTCGGTAAGTGAGGAGCATCTGTAGTTCAAAACGGATAACAACGTTGACATGTGGATCATACATTAGTGCCACTCAAGGAAAGTGATCTGGCAAGCAGTGTTTCTGAGAGATGGCCACATTCAGGGGAAAGGAAAACAAAACACTATGCACCATGTTGTAGGTGAGTTTACATTTGCATTCAGTAGAAGAATAATATGTTATCAACACCCACAGTTCATAATTGATGTTGCACAAATGCCTCATGACAAGGTAATTAGCTGCGTACACAGATAAGCAATATTTTTTTTTTATGACATGATTTTTTTTTCCCCCTATAGTTCAAGTTTTATTAATCAAGGGGGGGATACAAATTGTTACAAAAAGGTGAGAGAAAATATATGAATAAATATATACATTTGTAAAGAGTTATTAAAAGAACAAACAAAATAAGACTCAAAACAGAGGACAGTACACCCCATCACGGAAAACAAGATGCCATACCAAGGCCGATCCTGGGTGCTGACATTTTTTGGGTGCCCTGTGTGGGCGTGGTCATCCTACTAACTTCTCCCCCGTTACAAATCCCCACAAATGCATGTTTCTATGACAACTCCACTTCTCCATGTATATGCCCCAACCATTTCTTCTAATCCGACACTCTCACTGACAGTCACACTCTTTCACTGAGAGAGAGAGAGACACACACACACTTACAGACACATTCTCAATCACACATACACACACTCAGTCACACATACACACTCTCGCCTGCAGTGCTTTGGAAAGGTAGTGGTATTGTTTTCAGTTGGATCGCTGTGTATATATACTCTTGGACAGAGCTCATCAACTGTATAGCTTGAGGATGACTGACTGAAAGATTTTAATGAGGGTGAGTAATCTCTCTCTCTCTCTCTCCCCACACCCACCATGGGGGACTATGCTGTAATCTTGCAGTTCGTCACTCCTCCTGCGCACTGTTTAGTATGCCATGGCTACAATTATGTCATATTCTGACTCCCGGCATAACAGAGGGCATGCAAGGGAGGAGTTCAGAACTGCAAGATAAGCGCTCCTTGCCTGCCGCTGGCTGCCTGCCTCACACCCCTACCCCTCTGGTATATCACGGCAGAGTAGGCACCTGCTATCCAGGTAAGCATGTGTCTACAGGAACATGAGGTTGAATAGGACCCTGCTTAAATGACGGGGACATAGGGTCCCCCTGGCCCCCACCCATGAGCGGCGGATGGGAGCCCTAAATGAAAATGTAAGGGGGACCTATTGTCCTCCCCCTAGCCACCACCCATGGGTGATGGGTGGGGGTTAAATGTAAAAATACCCCCCCCAGGGGTGACTAGGGGTTCCCAAGCCCCTAGTCACGCCCTCACCCCAAAAAAATTTAAATAAGCCCTACCTACCACCCTCACCCTCAAAATAGTGAGGAGGAGACAATAAAACTAAATACCTGTAAATTAATAAAAATACCATTTGAAAATAAAAAATCAGACAAAAAAAAAAATCCTGATGTTGAAAAAGTAATCCATCTTCAACCAGCGAAGGCATGGCGCAGGCTGAGCTCTGCAGGGAGGGGAAAGCTTATAAAGCCTTTCCACGCCCTGAAATTTGACTTAGAGCGCTCTGATTGGTTGGTTTAAGCCAACCATTAAGAGTGCTCTGACAGGTAAGTCTCTACATTTACCTGTCACAGCACTCTCATTGGTTGGCGTGGAATCCACCAATCATAGTGCTCTGAGACATTTTACACAGTGTGGGAAAGTTCTTTGGAATAACATTCTGATTGGTTGTCGTCCCCCTTTTTTCATTTAGGGCCCCCACCCGCCGCTGATGGCGCGAGCTATGTCGGCCGTGTGGCACCACTGCTCTCATGGCATCCTGTGCAACTGCACAGCTCTCACAGCCCTAAGGCCCGGGTTGGCTAATAGATAAAGTGGTTGGCAGCAGCTGGTGAAAAGAGAAAATTATGACTATAGTAGAGAGTAGAGAAATTAAGGGTTAAATGCATGCAGTGTGGAAGTTGTCAAGTGAAGAGAGTTCCTCAGACATCAGGTAAAGGCAGTGAGTGCCTTGGGGTGGGGTGGAAATAAATCCTCCAAAAATGCTACCTCTTCTTATGGCTTCAGCTGCAAGTCTTGTGAGCTGTGACCTGGAGGAATCTCTGAATGCTGCATAGTGTGTTTGTTTTAGAATTTATTATCTCCTGCTCTAATAGCTAAAGCCACCTGTGTGTGATTAAAGTTCAATGAACACGGCAGCAGATAAGAACTTCTAATGTAAACACACTGTGCTGTAAAAATGACACCATGTTTTTCATGAAGGCCTTGTCAGTCACAGCCAGAGAAGGGGTGACTAGGGCTGCATGAACAGAAACAAAAGGTATTTAGTCCCTAAATAAAAGAGAACTGAGCAGTGAGACTACAAGGGGATGATCTATACAAAATCCGTTAATTAAGCTAAAGTTGTTTTAATGTTTAAAGCATAGGTAGGCAACCTTCGGCACTCTAGATGTTGTCGACTACAAAATCGACTACAAAGTATCATGGGAGATGTAGTCCACAACATCTGGAATGCTGAAGATTGTCTACCACTACTTTGAAGGAACACTCCAATAGGAATTGTTTTCTAACACTCTAGTAGATATAATGAAAACATCCATGTAATACTAACCCTTATCTATAAAGTCTTAACCAACTCTAGCCCTTCTTACATTTCTTCCCTGATTCATAGATATGCCTCTTCTCAGTCTCTCCGCTCTTCTGGTGACCTTCTCCTGTCCTCTGCTGACACCCTTACTGCTAACTCGCGCTTGCAGGACTTTTTGGGGGCGGCTCCCTTCCTTTGCAACAGCCTGCCTACCCCCATCAGACTCTCCCCTAGTCTTCAATTGTTTAAAAAGTCCCTCAAAACACAACTGTTAAGAAATGCTTATGGACTCCCAGAGTAACTATCCATATCTGTCTCTTGCTCTCCTAAAGAGCAATACTCCACTCTCACCTCTAGTTCTGCTATTTTTCTACCTTGTTTGGTGGCTGTCACCCTTGCTGCCCTGTTGTGTATTTGTACACCACTTCCTCTAGACTGTAAGCTTGTTTAAACAGGGCCTACATCTACCTATTGTTCCTGTGTCACTGTGTAATTGTCTCATGTATTGTAAAATCCCCTCCCTTTCATAATATTGTAAAGCACTCTGTAATTAGTTGGTGCTATATAAATACCAATAATAATAATAATAATAATTGCTAATTGGGTGAATATTTAAAAACAGCTTGCAAAAGAAGCAGATTTGCTGTCTGCAGCCTTTGTAAACCTTCCCCTTTTTTCCCAGGAAGTCCATAGACAACCAGGGAGGTGTTTCTGATATTAGTTATAAAAACGCCAATTTCAAATAGAAATCAGCACTTTTATACACTGTATTTAAGAGGAAATTCTCCTTTGTTTGTGTGCTTTGTGTGGGTGAAGCGTTCCTTTAACAACAGTTACTGGTAAACCCAGGTTTTCCTCCACACCTAATTGACAAAATCTGTTACTTTATCAGTATTTTCCATAATAGATACCCAGACAATAGTTCCTTAAAGTAACACTCTAATGTTATATATACAAATATGTAATTATATCAGTCTGTCCCTGAAGAAGTTTACATTGTTTGTCTTTCTGTAGAAACAATATTTAGCTTACTGTTTATCATTGGGGGTCCCAGTCTTCCTGCTGTTGCCAATCCTCCTTCATCTTTGCCAATCAAATGTTTCACCATAGATAAGTATTGATTGCCCTTCTGCACATCATGATGCCGAATGTGAAGACAGTACATTTTTTTGCTGTCTTTACAAGAAAGTGCCTTATGTGGTTGTCTGATTGGCAGGCACTAGAAGCACACAAAAAGATAAATGTAAATTGTGCTGTTTCTCGAAAACAACTAGGCTTACAATTGTCAGCGTATGAGGACGACGTAGAGGCACCATGACCACTACACTAAGCTGTAGTGATTTTAAAGGTTTTGTCTCTTTAAATAACAATGAACTCCTTGTGCCCTTACTACCCTGATGGAAATTGAAAGCGTTTCTGGGTCCTGACAGTTGCTTGCAGGGAAAGAGTGTTCCTGAACAGATGATTCATCTTTCTAAAAAAAAAACAAAAAAAACATACAATGGGGGGCGTGTCCTGAACGCGGACCGGAGCAGACGCATGTAATCAGAGCTCCGTGCCGCGACAGCTAAAAAGGAGCAATTAAAGCCCGAAAAAATATACTTGGGACCAGCCCGGACCCATAATGTCTCACCCCAAAGGCAAACGAGCAGGGGACAAGGGAGAAAAAACGAATTTCTTCGCCTCCAGGACGGGACAGGGGAAAACTCCACAGCAGTCCGAGCAGGCCCAAGATGGCGCAGGTGAGGAGCATGATGCAGACTCCCATCAAGGGGAAATTGACAACCCGCTGACACACAGCTCCCTAAAGAAACTGCTGGACGAAATGTCAGACAAAATAGTGGGAAAAATGGACAGTGCTATGACAGCCCTAAGAAAAGAACTTCAAGATATAGGCCAGCGCACAGCGCGGACGGAGGAACAAATCACAGAAATGGCGGAAGCCCACAACGCACTTGCAGAAACCGTTGACGGCCTGGCCGCACGACTAAATGACCAAGATCTTAAGATAGCAGATATGGAGGACAGGGCACGCCGCAACAACCTCCGCATAAGGGGGATACCAGAAACGGTTAAAAATGAAGACCTCAACGCCCATGTCACGGGCCTACTAAAAGCACTTGCTCCAGACTTACCAATTGACCTGCTCCTGCTAGACAGGATTCACAGGACCGCCAGACCGAAATTCTTACCCCCAGACACGCCGAGAGATACCTTACTCAGAATGCATTATTTCCACGCTAAAGAAGTTATCTTGAATGCAAACAGAAAACGGAAGGAAATGCCTGCACAATACAGAGGTACAACCATCTACTCAGACATATCCTCATACACCTTAAAGAGACGGCGCGACTTCAGGGATATAACCATTCTGCTCCGAGACAACCATCTCCCATACCGATGGGGATTCCCCACCAAGCTCCTGGTGATGCGGGACGGGAGGACCACAACGATAGGATCCCCGGAGGAAGGCCACCGTATCCTAAGGGACTGGAACATTGCATCCACACAGATGGCTGAGCAAGGAAGAAGCGGCAACAGAGCCTCACCGGACTGGAAGAAGGCGAAGCGGAGATGAAACATATAAGACTGTGTGCAGGCCTTACGGCACCACAGGGTGATGGACTATCAACCCCAGGGGCAGGGTAACGTACAATGATACACCAACTACACTGAGCAATTGCAATGCTCACGATAGGGCATAGTAATAGGTGGGGGGCCTCGCTTTATTATACGAGCTGGGGTCCCACAAAAACACTACCCACATAATATCTATACAAAAAAAAAAAAACCCCGCCATCACTCACATAGAAGCGAGTATCTCCAGCTAGACTCACTCACCCAAAGACAAATAGATTGCCGGTGGGGCAGCCGCATGTCAACCTTCACCCACACCTAGCTTAAATGAAAAAAAAAAAAATATATAAGTAGATAACTCATCACTACACAAGCATAGACAATACTGCAGCTCGACCAGCAGGGCTAAGAATACTAGTTGGGACATCCCAACATACACATAAGTAATAGCTGTAAAGGGAGAAAGCTCCCATAGGACGTGAGGCCTTCCGCCTCTACCCCCAAGGCACGACAACGCAGTGCCACGTCAAATTTATGGCACATATATTCCTTAGGAATACCCTTGTAAATACTTTTGTTGATGTTAATGTTTTGTTATATGTTGTTCTATGTATTGCATGTACCTCACCAGTCCAACGCTTTACCCACGAGGCGGGGAAAGGGTTAGTGGGTGACTCGACCCCAGCCACCAAAGAAATATCCCAATTACCTAATGACAACCAGTACTCAGATTGTTCCGCAGGCCATGCTGGCACAATAATGAACATACAGAGGGACTCACTGCTCCGCTCGATAGAGCTGGGGAGGGCAGCGACCCCCACATACATTGACCAATTCCATAGGTATGAGAGACACCAAACTCACAGACCACCGTGAAGCTCTGTACCTTCAACGTTAGGGGCCTCAATGCTCCGGTAAAACGCCACCTTCTAAATAGAGAGGTTAGACATATGGGTATAGATATACTATGCCTCCAGGAAACCCATTTTAGGCACAACGACTACCCAGCAATATTAACCAAAGATTTTCCACACCAGTACCACGGCACCCACTAAAGCTAGGGGAGTATCCATTCTCATCAGCAAAACGGTATCTTTCACACTGCAGACTGTAGACATAGATCCGACTGGTAGATATATTATACTCGTGGGAGTGTTTAACGATATGCTATACACCATAGTGAACATGTACTCCCCAAATACTAATCAAAGGAATTTCTTGCAAAAAATTTTAAACCAGACAGCCAAAACCCAAAAGGGCATCACGATTATAGGAGGGGACTTCAACCACATTTTTGACCCGCTTACGGACACCACCCTACATGCACGTAGCAAGCATCACCGCCCCCTGAAGAGACAATGTAGAGCCATAGCAAAACTACTCCATGCCCAACATTTCTATGACGCCTGGAGGGTCACGCACCCTACAGAAAGGGCGTACACCCACTTTTCAGCAGTGCACAACTCTTACTCCAAAATAGATGGGTTTCTCATAGCGGGATCGGCCCTAGACCAACTAGTTGATAGCGACATACAGCAGATTACGTGGTCAGACCACGCACCAGTAACTATAGAACTAAAAAACATCTACGACTTTAAACACCGCAGCCCGTGGAAAATAAACAATTCACTGTTAAGGGACGAGGGATACGCACAAACTCTAAAGGAAGACCTCCAAACATACTTCGATAATAATGACACGGGGGATGTCTCAGACTCCACATTATGGCTAGCACACAAGACAGTGTCGAGGGGCCTATTGATCAGAAGGGCAGCCTATGTGAAAAGGACACAACAGACACAACTCAGAAAATGGCAGGCAGAGCTGTATAACTTAAACAGACTTAACCAACACACCCCAACACCAGAGACAAGACACAAAATAACCCAGCTCACACGCCTTATGCACCAACACGCACTTGAGACACTCAGCGCACACATGCAGAAGCTCAAGATAAACCATTACGTGCAAGGGAATAAGGCAAGCAAATTGCTGGCACAAAGAATAAAATCTAGACAGGCACACCAAAAAATATCCTATGTCACGGACCAAGCAGGAACACAAATACGTACCCCAAAAGGCATAAGTGAGGTATTCGCTTCATACTACTCAACACTCTACAATATTCAACAGGACACACAGGTCAGACATCCGACGACCACAAGCATAAAAGAGTACCTAGATGGAGTGAGAATACCCAAGATCACGCCACAACAACAGCTAGACCTTACAAAACCAATAACAGTCCTAGAGGTTGAGGAGCTAATTAAAGGCCTCCCAACAGGGAAATCCCCAGGACCAGACGGATTTGACAATCAATACTACAAGAAATTTAACACCACACTCGCACCATACTTAGCCAGATTATTCACAGAGGCAACTCAGAAGGGGGAACTCCCCAAAGAAACACTGTCGGCTCACATAGTTACGCTCCCAAAACCCAACAAAACCCCGACAATCCCACAGAACTTCCGACCAATTTCCCTCCTCAACACGGACGCCAAATTGTACGCCAAATTATATGCCAACAGACTGAGTGTAATCCTCCCGACCATAATACATGATGACCAGGTGGGTTTCATAAAGGGGAGACAGGGGTCGGACAACACCAGGAAAGTTATTAACATCCTCCACCACCTACAGGGCCGGCACCGGGGGGGACTTCTTGTCTCCCTCGACGCCGAAAAAGCCTTCGATCGTCTACACTGGGGGTTCCTTCAGGAGGTATTGGGTAGGTTTGACATCCCTTGTGGCTTTGTGGCAGCCGTTAGTGCTCTATATAGCCAACCCGCAGCACGAGTATTGAACGCGGGGTTCCTGTCGGAACCGTTCCGACTCACAAACGGCACGAGACAGGGATGCCCTCTGTCCCCGCTGCTTTATGTGCTGGCGCTAGAGCCGTTAGCGATCAAAATTAGAGAAAACCCCACAATACACGGCCTGGAGATAGGGAAAAGGGAATACAAGGCAAACCTCTTCGCGGACGACATCCTGCTGACGCTAACACAACCACATCTGTCGCTCCCAAACCTGTTGAGGGAAATAGAAATCTACGGGGAACAATCATACTACAAACTTAATGTAACCAAAACACAAGCAATGGGAATCGGGAGAGCACGCAACACCATAGCAAACTTAAAAAACTCATTCCCATTAGACTGGAGAGAGGACTACCTTACCTTCTTAGGTCTGAGGATCCCAAAGGACCCCGAGAGACTCTTTCACCTAAACTACGGGAGGTTAATAGACGAATTTAATGCCACCTTAAAGAATTGGGATAGCAAGTTCATGTCCTGGGTGGGGAGATTGGCGGCGGTGAAGATGATGCTGTTGCCGAAATTCCTATACCTAACTAGAACGCTACAGATCCATATCCCCAACACATACTTGAAACGCCTACAACGATCTCTCACTAGTTTCGTGTGGGCATACAAGAAAGTTAGAGTGGCCACCCGCATACTTTCCAAACCCCTAGCGCAGGGAGGGCTAGGCCTACCCGAGGTGACAACATATTATAGAGCTGCACTGTTGACCACCGCACTACAGGCGCACACAGCCCAGAACCCACCACAGTGGGTGGAGATGGAATCAACGTGGGCTTGCCCCAAGGGCCTTAGCCACTTATTCTGGGTCCCCCACGAACACCGACTTATAGCCCCAGACATACCCGCTACCACAAAAACCTTACTACGTAACTGGGATACGATCAAACCCCAGCTAGGTTACACAGAGAAATGGGCACTGACCACTCCAATATACTGCATACACCTGGCAAACCCCACATTTGACCATCGCATATGGGTTGAGCGAGGATGCACGCTAGTTAGACACCTCTATAATCAAGGGAAAATTAGACAATTCCCCGACCTACAACACAGCTACGACCTGCCACAAAGAGCAATATTTTCCTATTTGCAACTGAGAGGAATACTAACAGACTCCACTGCCCTGACAACCCAGACATATGCGCAACACATAGAAAAAGCGTGCGAATCTAGGACAATGCCTAAGAAACCACTCTCACTGATGTATGCAACACTCAATAACCCAACTCAGCAGACACCACCACAGTTAGACAAATTCATAGAGGCATGGCATAGGGACCTAAATACAACTTTCTCAAAGGAACAATGGAATCAGGCTTTTATAGCCCATAAAGGCAGATCCAGATGCGCATCCCACCTAGAGCTAATGCGCAAGATCCAATATAGGTGGTATTTAGTGCCAACCAGACTGGCAACCATATACCCCAACACCTCGCGGCTATGCTGGAGATGTTTACAAGAGGAGGGCACAATGTTCCACATTTGGTGGACCTGTGCGACCATCAGGGGATACTGGAGGACAGTCGAAGGGATGCTAAAGGGGGCACTGAACTCAGGAAACAATCTGAAACCAGAAACTGCTCTACTTTTCATATCCCTTGACCCACTCCCAAAAGCACATGCTGGCCTAACATACCACATACTGATAGCTGCCAACCTATTAATAGCCAGAGGGTGGAAACAACCAAAGCCACCGGAGAGATCTAGCCTTATCCAACAGATCTCCCTAAACCTAACATATGAAACGAAGACTAGCCAGCTGATGCGCCCATCACACCACATAAGGGACGCCAGGCGAATATGGGAGGCATACCTGAGGAAGGTTGAGGAGGGGGAGGGGCTTGAACAATAACGAGAGTGGAGAAAAAAAAAAAAATAAAAAAAAATATATCCATATACCCAAGAAGAATAAAAAGCACCACACATAATACCTAACCGCTCAGGCGCAGAGAGGCCAAAAGCCCTAACACCAAGGTTCGAAAACAGGCATTGAGATAAACCCAGCTGAAGACAAATAACTCAATAGGCAAATGCGGAACAACCACCCACACTGTACATAGTTATCCAGGGGACAAGAGGCAGGAACCAAGCAAGTATGACAACCAAGGCGGAGACAGGGAGTGATACGGAGCTCTTGCAGCCCGCTCCCCCATCTCTTCTCCTACTGCCCGAACCCCCCCCCCGTTTCCCCCATCCCCCCCTACCCAACCCCACATACAACGCAAGGTTAGGAGGGTTAGACAAGCCGGACAAGGTATATGATCATGGTCACAAAAGTGGGGGAGGCACTCCCACAAAGTTGAAAACCTGGCCTTGTTCCTGAATGTATAAGATGTATCTTGAAATATTGTACCTCAACTGCATACCCTCCCCTTTTTCCTTTCTGTACCCCAACATGTTCGCTGATAAAATAAAAATTGTCAATTGAAAAAAAAAAAAAAAACATACAATAAGAGCATGCTAAGAAGTGTCCCTTTTAACCAATTCTATTTCAAACTTCACAAGGCAAAAGTTTGCCCTATTACACTAATACAGAAGAGTCTTGTCTTCACTCAGATCCCAGTGTAGCCGTTATTCAGACAACAAAAGGAGGCACAGGAGCAGAGACACACAAGCCACTCATAGAGTAGTTTGTTAATAGCAACAGTTAAAATAAGTAAAAGGTGGACTCTCTCATGAATTAAAAACTTTCAGGCATATCATTAGTGTCTTACTGGTCGATTGTGAATCTGTCGGCTAGGCGCTTTCCCCCCACGGTAGTCCTGTGGATTGTGGCCTTCTCCTATGCTGGAAGCTTTCAACTGACTTCTTCAGATATTGTAGTGTATAGTTTAATCTTTCAATAATATAAGGGCTGAATTCGCCAAACACCTTTCCACCTCAACTAGGGCTTTATTAATGGCATATAGTCTGGGGTTGCCTCATTTAAAAAGCCCGGTAATTAATAAAACATTAGGTGGGTGGTTCTCTGCTCGAATTTTAAAAGACAGGATTCATTGTACACAGAGTGTATTAAGTATCTATAATTGCTCAAATATATCCCTTACTCATATTAACTTATGTTGCTTAATTGCATACTCTCTTTTAAAAAGTTCTTGTGTGCCATGTTACCATAGCATTGCACCTTACATTCATTGAATACCCAATTATTCCTTCTACCAATTAGCCCCAACATCGCAGGTCAAATAAGTGTCTGTTAGAATGTTAAGATAAGAATACTGTTTTCAAAAGCAATACATTAACAGGTTAACTAATACCTAATACATTGAACAACATAAATTAATGTCTCCTAAACATTGTCCAATTCAGAAGGCATGTAGGTAGCAATGTTGTAGCTAGTAAATGTTTATTTTTAGTAATTGCCAATCATGTTCAATAAGCACTGATTATGTAAAACAATGTTACAACAAAAATAAGAAGACATGATATCATTGACCTAGGACGGTAATAGCTTATGTTTAATAACAAATATAGTTAAAGAAATACTATAGTCACCAAAAACAACATTAGCTTAAATGAAGCAGTTTTGGTGTATAGCTCATGCCCCTGTACTCTCAATACTCAATTCTCTGCCATTTTGCAGTTAAATCACTTTTGTTTCTGTTTATGCAGCCCTAGCTACACCTCCCCTTGACTGTGACTCATACAACTTGCGTTACAAGAAAGGTTTCATTTTCAACCAGATGTTATTAACTTTAAAAGTATTTATCGCCTGCTCTGTGAATTGAACTTTAATTGCATATGGGAGGCCCTTGCAGAGTCTAGCAAGCTATTAACATAGCAGGAGATAAAAAAATTCAATATTTAAGCAGAATTTGCAATAAAGAAAGAGTAAACATTAAATGATTCTTTACTGGAAGTGTTTAGAAAGGCAGTATAAGTCAAATGCAGGGAGGTGTGATTAGGCCTGCATAAAAAAAAAAGTGATTTAACTCATAAATGGAAGAGAAGCGGGCAGTGAGACTGCAGGGGCATGATCTATGCACCAAAAGCACTTTATTAAGATACACTTGTTTTGGTGAATGTAGTATCCCTTTAATAGGCTTACGAAACAATGTTACATCAAAATGTGGATACCCACAATGATGCTATTGACAAAAGTGAAGTACTTTCTGTACAGATAGGATAATAAAGCAAATGGACTCCATCCTGAACTTTCTGATTTCTAACAGCTTGTCTATTTTAGGAAGATCGGGGAAAGAGTGTGACTTGCATCCTGATTTTTTTTTTTTTCTTGGAAAAGAGCTGAATAATAGATACCATTGAATCATTCATGAGGATAAACAAAATATCTTCACTTCTTCCTGAAAATATTTGAAGATGGCTTTTATCTCCTTCTCTAAGGCCTACTATCTTTGTAACGCTGGTTTTTGGTTGACGTTTGGCCTGATCAGTGATCGGGTTGTTTTATGTCACCTTATATTTCTGTCTTATGCAGCTTTCTCGATGAAATGTTCGAGAGTTTTACAAAACAGAAGAACGCTATTCTACTTCCAGCCTTTTAGGTTAAGGCCCTAAAAGGCTAGAAGACATAATAAAATGCCTTCTTCCAACATTGGGATCCGAATGAAGACTTTAGTCCTTTTCCTGTTCTACATCTAACAATGTATTTTAATATATAGTTTGTTTTTACTGCTATGGTTAACCATAAATGCTTTTCATATGCATAGACTGATGTAGCGTGTGTTTTATGGACTATGGCGACATCTAGTGTGCATTTTACAGACTATGTCAAGGTACTAGTGAGCTCAGAAACACATTATGTTGGGTTTTTTCTATTTTTTTGGTGTAGCATTTAAAGGACCACTATAGGCACCCTGCCCACTTCAGCTCAATGAAGTGGTCTGGGTGCCAGTTCCAACTAGTGTTAACCATGCCTGCTGTAAACATAGCAGTTTCAGAGAAACTGCTATGTTTACATATGGGTTAATCCAGCCTCTAGTGGCTGTCTCACTGGCAGCCGCTAGAGGCGCTTCCGCGCTTCTCACTGTGAAAATCACAGTGAGAAGACGCTGCCATCCATAGGAAAGCAATGAGAAATGCTTTCCTATGGATTGATTGAATGAGCGCGCGGCTCTTGCCGCGCATGTGCATTCAGCACTGATTTCGGCAGAGGGAGGAAAGTTCCCCAGCGCTGAGGGATCCCGGTGCTGAAGAAAGGTAAGTGATTAACCCCTTCAGCCCCCTAGAGCCTGGCGGGAGTGGGACCCTGAGGGTGGGGGGGGACCTAAAGACCCTATAGTGCCAGGAAAACAAGTTTGTTTTCCTGGCACTATAGTGGTCCTTTAAGGCTACTATAGAATAGAAAGTAAAGGGGAAAAAAGTCCCTTGCTACTCTTTTATTAGATCTAGGCCAAAATAGTAGGTTGGAAAAAATAGCCAGCTTTCAGATATTTCCAAATTCAACATTTTAACCTATAATTTTCAATTTCCAACAGTTATCTAGAATTACTGGTTTGATGATTACTCCTCTGTTTTTAAAA